CCCCCCCCAGCCCCATCTGTCCCAGCTGGGGAGAAGCTGAAGAAATGCTTTGTCTAGAGTTGCTGCCTAGTGAGACTGGAGATGACGTTCCAGCCCTAGACCTGGCGTTGTCTTCTAAGTACAAGAAGAATCCCCAGCACTTTGCCTTCCTCTGCTTCCCAGCCCTTCCTGCCCTTCATCTGAGCAGGGAGGGAGGTGGTGGTGTTGACAACTCAGAGGTAAGACAGCCCTGAGTCTGGAGCCATAAATAAGACAGGGGTACAATATGTGCTGGGCATTTAGAATGTTGATGCAGGTGATACATAGATGTCCTCAAGGAGATAGCCTCCCACGGTGATCTACATTTTGGCAGATGGGACCCACCCTAAGCATAGGAACAAACATTTTTTGCAACCTTAAGAAGAGCTGGGGAAAGGACGGTAACACAGATAAAATCCAGGCACCATGGAGTCTGTGTAAGGGACAGAAAAATAACCAGATAGTTTTTAAAAATACATTTTGAATGTAAAGGCAGACAGAAACAATTAGGAAATCACATTTACAGAACAATTGAGTTAAGCAGCCCATTCCTTTAGGAAACAGTAAAATCTAACTGTGTTTATGTGTGTTGAAGATGTGCAGACAAGTTTCTGCCTTTTCCCACCTCTTAATCCTCACCTGATCTCGGAAGGAATGTGAGGACAGCGGGGCGCCAGCTGGGGTTGGGAAAACAAGAACAGTATTGACAAGCAGCTCGTGAATGGCTTGGTTATTATTGTGATGAGGGTTTTATTTTTATTTTCTGTCACTACTCTGGCTCCATAACGACCGGGTTTTATTGATATTGGTTGGTATCCTGGCTCCAGGCCTTCTCAGTGTTGTAAAAATAAAGAAAATGTTTATGTTTACTGTAAAAAGATAATCTTGCTTTTCAAAGTGATTAATCACATACGTAGAATTCCAGTGTGCCTGCCATTCATTTGTCAAATTTCTGATTTATAATTCATGCTCCCTCCCCTGGGGAGAAGATGTTTTGTTCAGAAGGTATTTTCGGTAGGGTTATGTTCCCTGCTAGTGAAATTAGTTTACTAAAATAAAAGCCTCATCCTAGGTTGAGCCAGAAGTTTGACCTAGGTAACTGGCCTTCACTCCAGGCTCAGAGGTTTCGGAAACCAAGGAGAATTTGTCCCTCAAAGTTATGACTTGGGCACCTGGGAGCCGCCAGGCCCACAGGGTTTGTGTTGACACCTCTGAGCGTCCTTCAGAGCTGGGACTAGCCCGAGGGCAGGGATGGCCCGAGGCATCCGTCTCCACCTGTGGACACCCCTCCTCTGGGGAGCAGCCCCAGCAGCCTGGTCCCCTCACGTGGCCCTGCAGTGCCTAGCCTGAGCCTCGGTTCCTTTGGACAGTATATCCTTTGCACATTTTCCAGCATATTCCAGCATATTCCTATGTTGGGGCGCAAGCTCTCGGTGAAAGGAAAGGATTTGTTGGCCTGCCCACTTCTGCCGCCTGACTTGGTGGCCCTGGATGAATCTGAGGCCTCGGGTGGGTCTGAGAGGAACCCCTCTTGGCTCCCGAGCTGCCGCCTTCGGGCCCGCGGGCTCACTGTGCCCCTCCCTCCCCGGCCCCCACGGGGTGCAGCCCAGGGCTCGTGAAGGGCTGGGCTATCGGGCCGGGGGCAGGACCCCCTCGGTGCAGCGGCTCCTTCTGGGCCCCGCGACCCGCAGGGAGCTCGGGTGACGCCGTTCCTCCGCCTGCTGCCCCGTGAGTGAACGGACAGAACCACAGAGGAGCTGAGGACCCGCGTGCACGCGCGCAGCTTGTGGACGGCACCGCTAGTCCTGGACCCCGTCTGGGAATGCCCGGGAACTCCCGGGGGGACGTACGGGCGGGACCCGGGCTTCCGTGTAGCTCACCCTGTGGACTGACTGGCGGGTAGAGGCCTGAATCTCCCCAGGGCACAGGAGCGCTCCCGGCTTCCGTCTGGTCTGTCCCGGCTCTGGGAGGGGGCTGGAGTCTGTCCTTCTCTGTGTGTGTGCTATATCCCTGAGTGGGTCTTGGAAACCCACACAAGGGGGCACCAGTGCCTAGACTCAGTTTTGTAGAGGGCGCTGGAGCGAACCCCAGACGGGACCAAGCTGGGGTGGGAGGCAGGAAGGGGACAGTCTGAGGTCTGCCGTGCGCGGTGACCCTGCCCGCCTGGTGTACGGATGCGTGCGGACCGCGGGCTGCAGCTGTCCGCTCTCCTGCCGTCCCGAGGTGGGCGTTTTCTAGGGGAGGCGGGCTAGCTGCTGCCGATGCTGGCTGTCCCCTGCCTCGCCTTCAGAGGCGGCCGTGGCTGCCGCTCTGTGCCCACCCGCCAGGGTGGACGTCTCAGTTGGCCAGCTTTGGACCCCCGCCCCTTCAGCACCTGTTAGACCAGTGCCTCTCCAGGTGTGGTCCCAGCACGTACAGCGTCCGCGTCCCCTGAGTGCTGGTTAAAAATGCAGATCCTCAACCCCCCAGACCTGCTCAGGAGAAACCCCCAGGGCAGGAGGGCCCAGCCCTCTGAAAATCAGCTTTGTGCGCCCTGAACTTGTTGGACACCAAGTTGCTGTCGCCTGGATGGGTGGCCTGGGGGGTCACCCCTCAGGCCATTTCTCTTCCGCCACCTTCTCCAGTGACCAGAGCTGAGACTTTTCAGGGTGGGGTGCGTCTGGAGGAGGAACTGACTCATTTCCCAGTCCCGTTCTCTCTCCTACCTGCTGAGCTGCATGGAGGGGATGGGATGGGATTTAACTCTGAGGATAATGGCAGGCTTTCTACAGCAAATATGTAAGCTGTTCCGGTTGAGTAGCAGAGCATATCTGTTCTCCCATGGACTGATTTCAAGTGCGTTGTACATACTCTGCTTGAGAGAAATAACCAGAGGCGTTTCTAGAGAATGATTTGAGTAGCAGCCTCTAGTGTGAGAAGCATAATCGGGGTCATCAAATTAGTGTTTTATCTGTTTTGACATTATCCTTGAATCATATTGTTGCTGTTGTTAACAGGGACTCTTCCTTCTTAGATACTGTTAAAAATTCCATCTCTGATCGGCAGAGGCGGTGTTTTCTGGAGCCACGTGGCGAAGAGCCCCAGAGCAGGGTGGCTGGAGGCAAAGGATAATGGTCTGATGCTGATCTCTCTGCTTCCAGGAACTACTCCTTCTACGTCCTTGACAACCAGAACTTGCAGCAGCTGTGGGATTGGGACCACCGCAACCTGACCATCAAAGCTGGGAAAATGTACTTTGCGTTCAATCCCAAATTGTGTGTCTCGGAGATTTACCGCATGGAGGAAGTGACGGGGACGAAAGGGCGCCAGAGCAAAGGGGACATAAACACCAGGAACAACGGGGAGCGAGCCTCCTGTGAGTGCGCCCTCCCACACCGCGCGGTGGCTTCTGTTCGTGGCTCCTCCTCGCTTCATGCAGGCCTCTTAAACCAACACGTGGACAGCTTCAAAGGCAGTAGTGAGGCAGATTCGTATCTGTGTATAAACATTTATAAATGGGTTCTCACTCAGATTTTAAAGGGGTGCTTTCAGAATACATCGAGTTAAGCATCTTCTATGCTCACGCACACCACTGGATTGTTTTCGAGGGGAGAGATGGTCCCTTCAGTGCTGGGAGGGAGTGAGCCTGGCCCTGAGTTCCTGGGGTGGAGAGGAGGTCTGAGGGCAGGGGGCCTCAGCTGCAGCCCCTGTGGCCTTGGGCCCCCGACCCAGATCCTGGTCCCACCACAGCATGAAAAATGGAGAGAGACTGCCTCCCTGAATTGATACTGCTTTTTCAGTTTAGAACAGTATAATTATAATCTTATATTGCTTATATGACTTCTCTTTGAAGGTTTTGCCTCTGAGCGGTGAGTTTCTCACCTAACCCTGTATGTAAAACTGCTTTTAAAAACGGTGTGCTTCTGTGTGGCTGGATCAGGTTATGAAAGTAAATTGTCTCTCCACCATCAGCTTTTGATAAGGGATAGTATGGGGAAACCATAGACTAATCCCTGTGATCCGGGGTGATTTGCCTACGTGCACACAGGCGGGAGAGAATCTTAGAGACCGTCAGAACTGGACTCCGTTTTGTGGGCTCTGGATTCACTCTGTAGACTCTCCAGTTGCCCAGGAAGGGATTTTAGAGGAGAGAAACCCGACACAGAGCTGGAGGGCCTTCTCCCTGCGCGCCCCACACCCCCCTTGCCACGCTCCTGTTTAGACCATCGCAAAGTGGATGTCGCTTAGCTCTGTCAAAGTGTTTTTCTGCTCAGAGTCAGCCAGTCTGACCTGTCGGATCATGCATACAGTAGCCATTTATTTTCTTTTGGGGAAAAAAGAAAAATCATGTTTGCCCTCTGAATAACATTTTAGCGGAAACTGCAGCATCTTTTCCATCTCAATCCATCACGTTTTGCCCCACAGACACCTTGGTTTATAACTATTGCTGGCCTCTGCTTCACCTCCCTAGGTGCGGTGGGTGGGACTCCAGTTGGGAAAAAGTTCAGAGGAGAGCTCGGTTCGCCGCCCCGGCGGCTTCAGCAGCCCTCCCCGAGTTCCCATCAGTTTGAATCTGGCCAGGGAGCACGAGGGGACTTGGGACAGCATCCCAGTGGTGCTCACGGGCCCAGGCTTCCTCCCACGAGGACGGGAGCCGTGTCCAGGGAGGTGGGCTCAGTCAGTGCTCGGTCCATTCCCTGCTACGCGTCGGCACTGCCGGAGCCTCCAGGGAGTTCCTGGAGGTGTTGCGCAGGAAGGTGTTGATACCAAGTTCAGACTAAGAAACGTTCCCCTCTCGTGGCACACCTGCCCCATTACAGATGCGACCAGGCAGATCCACAGTGGTGAGACGGGTGTCACCATGTCTAAGAAGACATGCGTCAAGGTCCGCTCACGCTCCCCAGCCCCCTCGGCAGCCCACATCTCAGGCAGGCGCAGAGAGACAAGCGCCCTTGCTGCAGCCAGCAGTCTTAGGTTATTAAGAATCGCTCACAAGTTCACATCCAGGACCCCGCGTAAACAAAAACAAAGGACTGAGCCCCTTGCAGGCCCTGTAGTGCAGTGTTTGGGTTCTCAGTGGAAACAGCAGAGTCACTGAGACATTCAAACGGGCTTTGCAGGCACAGCCAGCTTCAGTGGGGAGGGCCGTGGTGGGCACGTGGGAGGAGAGGGCGGGGATCGCTGTCCCTCACGGTGTGCCTCTGCCCCAGGTGAAAGTGACGTCCTGCACTTCACCTCCACCACCACGTGGAAGAACCGGATCATCATCACCTGGCACCGGTACCGGCCCCCCGACTACCGGGACCTCATCAGCTTCACCGTCTACTATAAGGAAGCGTGAGTGTCTGCGCTGTGACGTCACTCTGTGGGCGGGGCTTCCTCCTCCCCAGACCCCCACTGTCCGGTGACAGCCACGACCCCCAGTGACAGCTGTAAACGGAAACGTGTTTTCTCAACGGCTTTCCTTCGTCAGCGGGTGCTTAGGGGTGCTTGGATAAAAAAAGTCCAAAGGGCAAAACTTAACTTTGTGACTTAGGTCAGTGCAAGCATTCACAAGCTGGGATAGAGCGTGTGGTCGCGGCATCATTGCAGCCTTGGTGCACTCACCTATAGTCCAAGGACACCCGAATCGGGGTGCCCAGCCCCCCTTGAGGTGTCCCTCAGACGAGTCCATCGTCTAGCCCCGTCACTCTCCGTGGCCCCTCCCCAGATGTGCCCCTCCACTGTAGATGGTAAGCCCTCCAAACAAGGGATGGAGAATGGAGACTGATCTCCATGTTGCGAACCTTTCAGGATCTCTCCCAGAATCTGCCAGGGGCATTTCTTGTCCTTCAGGGGACACCTGCCTGCCCGGGCAGCCAGCACATCTCCTGATGTCAGGGATGTCTTCTCGGTCCACTCCTTCCTTCCGGTGCCTCTGTGTCCAGGTGCTTGCCCGGGCCTCTTAGTCACCCTCTTCCCCCTTGATGCCGTAGGGCCTTCTCCCGGGCGCCTGGCTTCCCTGGAGCTGGAGCCAGAGCCATGGTGGCAGCATCTGGTACCCTTTCCCCTGCCCCAGCTGGGGCCCTGGGAGTGCTGGAGCCACGAGAAAGTCCAGATGCAGGATTCTCAGGCATTCCGTGTCCCTGCACTTGGGAGCCACTCGACACACGATGACAGGGAGGGGTGTGTGAGTGTTGGTTTCAGAAACCAGTGGCTATCCAGCCCTTCCATCTGAGGGGCGTGGGATCCCTGCCCAGCTCCGCATCTGTGCAGAACCACCGTCCTCTTTGACAGTCCTACCATTGCTCTGGCAGGGTTGGCTGGCACTTTCACCAAGTGGTTGACGTTAGTGTCCGAGATAATCTGGAAACTAAATATTTGAATGTGATAAAAATACTAAAGCAGTCAGAATTGTTTGTGAGCAAATTAGATTTTGGAGGCTGTATTTTGAGAAGCTGTTTTTCTGTGGCAAAGGCATTTTCCTCCAGAAGTTCTTATTCTTTATCAATAACTGATGTTTGCATTAAGTGACTGCCCTTGTTTTTTCTTTATGGTGAAAAAAAAAAATGCCACAGTGGGAAGAGAGAGAAAGAGTATTTGTATATACTCTTCAGGAGCAGTGTTTCCAATCCCAGTAATTACAGAACTTACTCTTCCTGGGGCAGAGGATTTGATTCTTTAGTATATAGAGAACCAAGTGAAACCTGGAGTCTGGTAGCTCACTTTGATTCTGTAAGGATCTAACTGCTGATGTGTTTTACCTAGAATCCCCATTATGGAAAGTGGCAGGGAGCCCCCTGGGGAGGTTTCTTAGAGCTTCGACGTCAGCACCATAAGGCACTGTCTGAGCTCCGCTGACTGTGTTTCAGCCCCTTTAAAAACGTCACGGAGTATGATGGGCAGGACGCCTGCGGCTCCAACAGCTGGAACATGGTGGACGTGGACCTGCCGCCCAACAAGGATGTGGAGCCCGGCATCTTGCTGCACGGGCTGAAGCCCTGGACACAGTACGCCGTTTACGTCAAGGCCGTGACCCTCACCATGGTGGAGAATGACCATATCCGTGGGGCCAAGAGCGAGATCTTGTACATTCGCACCAATGCCTCAGGTACCCACGCACGGTTCCCGCCTCATCAGCTCACGTTCCTTGCTCACGACAAGATTTAGTCAGAGGGCTGTCCCTGAGCTACGCCCATTGTCTCCCCCCATCCTGGGCCAGTGTGTCTTTCATTTGTCTGTCTTGTCAATATATCAGTATAATACCTTAGCACTATCATATATCTTTTTTCCTACTCCCAATACCCCAGCCTCCTCCAGGATATCTTCTGTGGACTTGGGACCCTCTTCTGTCATCATTCTGATTGTCCTGGACCAGTGAGCCCAGGTCCCCCAGGGTGCTGGGTTGGTTTCTTTGGAAGGCCCCAATGGGATACAGTCCCCTGGGCTCCCCTTCCTGTTTATTTGGATAGTTGGACCTCTGGGAACTGAAGCCCTGCTGGTTGGTGTTCCAGTTTATCTCGGGCTCACGGGTTTCTCACCTTCATCCGGTGGCGCCTAGGGTTCCAAGAAAACAAACACAAGTTGAAAAGCATGAGAGGAACCACGTGGTAGACACTGCAGATGATTGCTGATGACAATGTGCCTCCTTCTCCCCTGATCCCCATTTTCTAAACTACCTCATTTCTCAACTCCAGAATCTGAAACTAATGAGAGCAAACATTTGTGTCAATTTTCCAAGTGTATAAATACCAGGTTAGAAGTAGGGAAATGCACATCATTTTAAAAAGCACTTAAACATTCTTTGATGATAGCCATTGTTACAATGCGTAGGCTGTTAAAACACATATAAGCTAGCACAAAGTGAATTTAAATGGTAAAGAGGGAGAGGAAAAAAATGTTGGTCAGGAAATCCTTTTGCTCATGTTCTCTTGCCTCCTCCTCCCCTTCCCTGTTCCATCCCAATGCTCTTCTAAGTGGCTATGATCATGTCAGGGAAGGTACAGCATTTGTATCAATAAATGTGACACAGGCTTCTGATTCTAGGCCTGGGATGATGTAGCAGAGGCTCACTCAAGGAAACAGAACAAGTTGTTCAGCCTAAAAATTTGGAAGTAATTCATTGTGACTAATTTGGGGAAAATAAAAATCTTTCTTTGCTATGACCAATTCTTAAGAAACTTGTTTCCTTTCCCCAAAGATAGGAAACAAAGCACTGCACAAACTGAGTCCGTTTGCTCCATTTGCGGCTATCCTTACCAGGTGGTAGTCAGAGAGTGGCTTAGTCCTTGGCTTCAGTTTTTGTGTGACACCTGTTACTGAAACATCTCCGGGTCGGCTGTGTGTTTCTTAAATACTTATTCTAGGAAGTGCTAAAATGGCCTCGCATTTAGTAGTTAAAACATTTTCCCAGAGAAAGTTAGCATTAGTCATAACTTTTTCCTAATGTGTCCTCCCTGCAAGTGTTCAGAACCTCATGTATATGTTGTCCCTTAAGCTTTCGAATTTGAAAAGCAGCTTGCATAGGAAGCTCACTCAGTTTTCAGTGCTCTGTGGTGGCCTAGGGGTGAGATGGGGATGTATGAAGGAGCCTCAAGAAGGAGCGGACATGTGTATACAAACAGCTAATTCATGTTGTTGTACAGCACACTAACACAACATTGAAAAGCAGTTATACTCCAATTAAATTAAAAAAGCAGCTTACATGACCACATTGCTTAAGTGGCATGTAGCGAAGGTGTTTTCTCGACTTTAGTAAACCTACCAAAATCAATGCTTTTTTTGTGAACCTAATGAAAACAAGATTTCAGTGGTCCCTGGATGCATTTGCCCTTTATACACAATTCAGCTCTGGGTTTGGGATTTAGGGGCAACAGTAAGTACAGTTTGACCAGATTCTTACACTTTGCCTGTAATCGATATTCTTTTGATGGTAACAAAAGTCCATGACTTGAAATCAGGGCTTTATATGTGTTCCAGATATTTTTAGACTTCTCATAGTCATAACTCCATACTTCCACAGATTCATGGTTATACAATTGTCAGACTTACAGACCCTTTTTTCATTGCCTTTTCCTCCAGAAGCCTCCTGTGCTCTGCCCCCCACCCTCATCACCTTTTTTAAGTCCCCCTTTCATTTTGTTTTTTTTTTCCCTTTTTTTAATCAGAGATTCAAAATCTCAAATAAAATAGAAGTCAGTTTTTCTTTTCTAATTTTTAAAACACTTATTTTAATTGAAGGATAATTGCTTTACAATATTGTGTTGGTCTCTGCCACATACCCACATGAATCTGCCATAGATAAACCTATGTCCCCTCCCTTTTGAAACCCCCCCCCCACACACACACACACAAGGCAGTCGGTCTTACCATTTGCTGACACTGCCCGAGTTCAACGTCTTGGAGGATGGCCGCGCTGATACATGAGGACAGTATAGCATTTGCATTAACTGTAGATTCTAAGTCATCTGTCCCAACCCTGGCCGCGCCCCCACGGCTCTTGGCCATCGACTAACGGTTAGTCATATTTGGCATGGGAGATGACCTGAGAACAGATGCTATAAAGGGAAAGGAATACAGTTTGGAAGCAAGGTTCGGTTTGCCTCTTGGGTCTGTGTGCACCGCCATTTTCCTATCCAGGTCACAGTCTGCTGGGTTTGCATTAAGTATCGGGCAGCCTGGGTCTCGACTTCCTTCCATTTTCTGAAGTGTCCTCTGCCCTCCTTCCCAGTTCCTTCCATCCCCCTGGATGTCCTCTCGGCCTCAAACTCCTCTTCTCAGCTGATCGTGAAGTGGAACCCGCCCTCCCTGCCCAACGGCAACCTGAGCTACTACATCGTGCGCTGGCAGCGCCAGCCCCAGGACAGCTACCTGTACCGGCATAACTACTGCTCCAAAGGTGAGGGGGAGGCCGGGGGCGGCCCGCGACCCCCGAGCCCCGGAGCCGCACCCAGGGCGCGCCCGCGTCTGAGGGGGCGAGGGGGCAGCGGCCGTCGTGAGCCCGGGTGCGCTGGGCTCTTCCTTCCCGGGCAGCCCGTGTAACTTGGCTCTCACGAGGCCACTCTGTTCCGAGCAGACAAAATCCCCATCAGGAAGTATGCCGACGGCACCATCGATGTCGAGGAAGTGACGGAGAACCCCAAGACCGAGGTGTGCGGCGGGGAGAAAGGGCCGTGCTGCGCTTGCCCCAAAACTGAAGCCGAGAAGCAGGCGGAGAAGGAGGAGGCCGAATACCGCAAGGTCTTCGAGAACTTCCTGCACAACGCCATCTTCGTGCCCAGGTACTGCCATCTTGGGGCCCAGGTACCTCCATCTTGTACCCAGGCCCCGCCATCTTCACGCGCAGGCACCGCGTCGTCCGCGGTGCTGCCGCCCCCACCCCAGCCCGCCGTGCGCAGGGTGACAGCCCGGAAGTGAGGCCCCGGGGGCCGTCACGGAGAGACGACAGAGCGGGCGACCGGCTGGGCGGGTGGGCGCTCAGCCCTGACGGACGGGCCAGGAGCTCGCAGCCTGCACCGTGGGCGCCGTCAGGGGGACGGGCGACAGGGGACAGCCGCCCAGTCCCCTGTGGGCGGCCTGTGGGCTCAGGGAGCGGCGAGCACTGGCCACTCGCAGGCACCTGCAAGTGAAGGAGCGGGGGTTTGGGCCCTTCCTGCGCCTCCCTGCCGGACTCCCAGCCTGGCCCAGAAGGAGCCAAGTAGGGAGAAATTCAGTCGGTTTTGAAACGGGCTCCACCTCAAAGCATACCGAGCACCACAGCGTCCCTCAAAAAAGAGTTTGTGAAGCCGTGCCAAAGACAGCCTTTCCAAGACATACAGCTCGACCCCAGGGCGCCTGTCTTCTCTGTTGCTCCAGCCTCCACTTCTGCCAAGTGAGGACAAATTGGAGGAAAGGAAACATCTAGAGCAGAATTATTCAAGTTGCCAAAAGCTGGGAACCACCCATGTGTCCACCAGCAGATAAGGGGATGAGCCAATGTGGTCTTTCCCTGTGATGGAATATTATTCAACCATGTGAAGGAATGAGATTCGGAACAACAGGAATGAGCCTTGAAAACACTATGCTGAGTGAAAGCAGCCAGATGCAGAGGGTGATATTACATGATTCTATGTATGTGAAATATCCAGAGTAGGCAAATTCATGGCAATGGAAAGTAGATTACAGATTACCAAGTGCTGAGAGAGGGAAAATGGGTATTCCTTACTACTGTGTGTAGAACTTCTGTTTGGGGTGATGAAAGATTTTGGTGATGGTTACCCAGCATTATGAATGTCATCAAGGACACTGAATTTTACACCTAAAAGTGGTTAAATTTACAAAGTTTTGTTAGCTTTTTTTTCTGCTAAAAGTTTGTTTTTACCACAACACAAAATAGTAAAAAAAAAAAAAAATCAGAGGGAGATTCACCAGGGCAGCCTTGTAGTGTCTGGGAAGGAGGTGGAAATGGGGAGGTGGCTGATGGTGCCTTTTTCTTCCTGAAAAATTGTAGTACAGGGTTTGGAAACAACCTCGTGCCTGAAATCTGGGCAGAGGAGCAGGATCCAGGCCAGTATTGTACCTGCAAGCCCGTTTTCCACCCCCATGGTGTCCCTGCTGCCAGTGCGTTCTCCTGGGCATCCGTCTTCTCCTAGCTCCCCACTCGCAGGGAGACCAGCAGCCCCTGGCTTCTGTTTATGCTGCATTTGGTTTGCCCTCAAAGGCATTTAGGTTGTAGCAACAGGGTTTTGAAAGAGACTTCTATTTTCTATCAAGCAACCTTCTTGATATTTGTATAGTAGTCAAAGATAGACATCTTACTTTAGAAGTCTTTAAAACAGGAAATCAAGACCTTTTAGAAGTGGAGGCACTAGTTTTTTCTTTTTTCCATAATAAACTTGTGTCATTTCACAGATTTCTTCCCCCTCCCTTCTCTGTTGCTGTTGAAACCATAGCACCTCCCACCCTGCCCCTCCAGTGATGTGTTTTGCTCACAGTGGATGGTAGGGCTGCAGCTCATGTGTTAGTCCAGATGTTCTGTATGTTGTGCATGCTTTCAAGAACCAGGAAGTTTGAGGGAGGTTAGAAAAGAGCTCAAAGATGTTTTCAAACTAGAACCCAGGTTCAGTGGCTTTCCTGCCACCCTGACTCATGAACAGTGAAATCTGGGGTTTGGGCCTCCCTCCCAACAGACCAGGAAAGGACTGGTTCAAAATTGGAAATCATGTACAAGGAGGCCGTATATTGTCATTCTGCTTATGTAACTTACGTGCAGAATACATAGTGCAAAATGCCAGACTGGATGAATCACAAGCTGGAATCAAGATTGCCGGGAGAAATATCAACAACCTCAGGTAGGCAGATAACACCACCCTAATGACAGAAGGTGAAGAGGAACCAAAGAGCCTCTTGAGTGTGAAAGAGGAGAGTGAAAAATCTGGCTTGAAACTCAGCATTCAGTGGCTCAGTGGTGAAGAATCCACTTGCTGATGTGGGAGACGTGGGTTCGATTCGTGGTCATGGAAGAGCCCATATGCCGCAGAGCAGCTCAGTCTGTGCTCCACAGGTGTTAAACCTGTGCTCCAGGGCCCACGCCCTGCAGCAAGAGAAGCCTGAGCACCGCAACTGGAGAAAACGCCCACACAGCAGCAAAGACCCAGCACAGCCAATAAATAAGTAATTTTAAAAAAAAGAACTCAACATTCAAAAAACTAAGATCATAGCATCCAGTCCCATCACTTCAGGGCATATAGATGGGGAAAAGTGGAAGCTGACTGACTTTATTTTCTTGGGCTCCAAAATCACTGTGGACTGTACGACTGCAGCCATGAAATTAAAAGATGCTTGTTCCTTGGAAGGAAAGCTATGACAAAGCTAGACAGCGTATTAAAAAGCAGAGACATCAGTCTGCCAACAGAGGTCCACATAATCAAAGCTATGGTTTTTCCAGTAGCGTGTATGGATGTGCAAGTTGGACCATAAAGAAAGCTGAGTGCCAAAGCATTGATGCTTTTGAACTGTGGTGCTGGAGAAGACTCTTGAGAGTCCCTTGGACTGCACAGAGATCCAACCAGTCCATCCTAAAGGAAATCAACCCTAAATATTCACTGGAAGGACTGATACTGAAGCTGAAGCTCTGATAGTTTGACCACCTGATGATAAGAGCTGACTCATTGGAAAAGGCCCTGATACTGGTAAAGATTGAGGGCAGGAGGAAAAGGGGGCAAAAGAGGATGAGATGGCTGGATGACATCTCACTGACTCAACAGACATGAGTTTGAGCAAACTCCGGGAAACAGTGAAAGACAGGGTAGCTGCAGTCCATGGGGTCGCAAAGAGTCAGATATGACTAAGCGACTGAACAACAGCTATTGAGTAACCACTCTGGGAGCATGAAGTACTTTGCATGGTGAGGCTGAGGTTTGCGGTGCCAAGAAAACAAAATAAGTGATGCAGGAAAGCCCGTATTATTTGTTGGTTGTTATACAGGGGGGTTGAATAGCTCCTTTTATTCCAAGGTGAAGATTTTTCTTTTCTTTCTCTCACTCTGGCCCGAGCCAGAGGAGAGACAAGAGATGCAGAAGCCCTCACTGACAAGCCACGTTTCTCTCTTCCTTGCAGACCCGAACGGAAGCGGAGGGAGGTCATGCAGATTGCCAACACCACTGTGTCCAGCCGGAGCAGGAACACCACAGCGCTGGACACCTACAACATTACAGACCCGGAAGAGCTCGAGACCGAGTACCCTTTCTTTGAGAGCAGAGTGGACAACAAGGAGAGAACTGTCATCTCCAACCTCCGGCCTTTTACTCTGTACCGAATCGACATCCACAGCTGTAACCACGAGGCTGAGAAGCTTGGCTGCAGCGCCTCCAACTTTGTCTTTGCGAGAACGATGCCTGCAGGTACGGTATGATTCAGCTCACCCACACCCAACCTACTGGAGCAGACTGTGATGTGATGAGACAGAGGCTGACACTCTTAGTCTCAGTCCTGCTGATTAAAGAATGGTGGTCATTTGCAGGCCACCTGGTAGCCCAGTAGGGAATGGCATTCATGCAGAGCAGCCCCACTCCCACCCCAGTCTCTCCATACAGAGTACTTGAGAGCAGGGAGCTTGATTCAGGATCGACTTTTCCTTCTTCTCGTGGGTTTGCATCATGCATTCCCATGGCCTTTTTCTGCCCGGCTCCTCCTGAGTTCCCAGAGTTTCAGTGAAATCCCCAGCGTGCAGCCCTGATTCAGAGTGAGCATCGCTCCTCAGGCTCAGCTGCCATGCAGTCTCTGGTCCTGCTTGCTTAGTCTCCACCTTTCTCTTGTAAGTTAGAAGCTGCCTGTGGCTCAGACAGCCCCACATCCTCCTTTGAGGATGGGTGAACTGCAGCATTTGCTTCCCTGAAGAGCTGGCAGGGAACACAGAGTGTCTGTGTCTGGGGATGGGGCCTCCTGGGTGCAGTTCCAGCACAGATGCGCCTCTGCCAACCGACCCAGCCTTCATCTCCTCACCCTCCCAGGAGAGACGCAGCTCAGCTGATTTCTCAGAGCCCTTCCCAGCTGGCACTTGCAGTGACTTTGCTCACCACCTGGCTTACTACTTTAAGAAAACAAAAGCAAGAGAGCAGGCACCCCAGCCTCCCCTGACAGCTGGAGGAGTCGCTGATTGCACCCCAGCAAGCTTGCGCTCAGCACCAGCTTCCTGGCAGCCTCCTCACAGGCAGGCTGGAGGAGCATCCTTCACACCTGCCTAGAAATGGCGTCTGCCGCGTGCAGATGCAGAGCACCGTCCAGGGCCTAGCATGCAGGCTGGGGCTGCTGCTTCTGCTCACGCTGCGCCTTTTCCGTGCCGCCGGTGTTGACGGCATCACATAGAAGCTGAGAACCAGACCTGAGTGACTGGGATTGCCAAGATTGTCCTCCTGTACTTGAGAGTAGGCTTTTCTGTTCGGGGACCGGAGCGGGAAGGGAGGGTATGGTGGCATCTCAAGACTTACAGTCGTTAGATTGTTCCGATTCCAAAACCCCTGCTGTGTGTGTGTGGCCAGGCCAAGAGGAGTCACTGCGGCTGCTGTCCTCTGTCCTGTGTGAGGGGTTGGGGAGGCCGCTTAAGTTAGTCCAGTGTCTCTGTCCCTCCTTGGGGGCTCGAATCTAACTTTCGTGCCTGTTTCAATTGTTGCACAGAAGGGGCAGATGACATTCCTGGGCCAGTGACCTGGGAGCCAAGGCCTGAGAACTCCATCTTTTTAAAATGGCCAGAGCCTGAGAATCCCAATGGATTGATCCTCATGTATGAAATAAAATATGGATCCCAAGTCGAGGTGAGTCTGGACAGCGGGCACGTGTGGGTGCATTTCCGTTACAGTGTTGTGTATGTTACACCATGACACCAGACACCCCCGGTCAGCTGAAGACTGAACGATGGAATAAGGAGGTGAGTCAGTGAGGATTTAGGTCTTTCTGACAGCCCTATGCTCTTTGAGGAATTTTCACGGTGTGCAAGGAGCTGGCTTATCCTCACCCGCCAAGAAACTGTTTCTTTACAGAAAATGATCTTTCAGCCTGGAGACTGGTCTTAATAACTTAATCTTTCTGAAACTCCTTTTGGTTAAATAATAAGGTTTGGTTAATGCTTGGGTGTGCTTTCAGTTACCAGAGAACTGCCACCATGTAAAGCTGGTATTTACCCTTTTCTTGCAAATCGAGGTCAGCGTTCAGTGGGAGGCGAGAGGCCAGGCAGCCACAGCTGCTCATTTCCAGCGTGTGCGGGGGGACTGACGTGTATGTTTTATTTCCTCCAGGATCAGCGGGAATGTGTGTCCAGACAGGAGTACAGGAAGTATGGCGGGGCCAAGCTCAACCGGCTCAACCCGGGGAACTACACAGCCCGCATCCAGGCCACCTCTCTCTCTGGGAACGGGTCGTGGACGGATCCCGTGTTCTTCTACGTTCAGGCCAAGAGTAAGGCTGTGGTGGGACTGCTGATGGGGCTGGGCCGGGGACGCCTGGGTCATCTGGTTTTCTGATTCCCGTCACCCACCACTGAGAAGGGGCACCCTTCTGCCAGCACCCCGTCTGGGAGCTCAGGCCAGGGAACTGCTGCACGTGGAGTCCCTGCCTCAGAGACCCTCTTTTGAGGGAGTCAGCAAGGGGGCCCTCGCTCTCAGCTTATGTCCAGAGCATTTTACAAAGCACTGAATCCACCATTCTGCCTTCTGCCTTGTCAGGGATGGTGGCTCGGGCTCAGACTCGGGGCTTAGAATCCTAGGGGGGGACACAAACCTGGGGCCTCTGGTCCAGCCCGCTTCAGGGCAGGAGTCGTCGCCGTGACAGAGTCCCGGGCCGAGGTGTCGCCCCGTCACTGCTCGTTGGTGAGAGACAGGTGCGCTTATAAAGCAGCAGCACACACTGAGAGCGCACAGTACTCCGTGTGGTGACGGGCTTCCCAGGAGGTTCGAGTGGTAAAGAACCTCCTGCCAATACAGAAGATACTAGAGACTTGGGTTCGATCCCTGGATCAGGACAATCCCCTGGAAGAGGGCATGGCAACCCGCTCCAGTATTCTTGCCTGGAGAATCCCATGGACAGAGGAGCCTGGCGGGCTGCAGTCCATGGGGTTGCAAAGCGTTGGACACAGCTGAAGCAACTTAGCACGCATGCACACACACACACCCCCTGTTTGGCACAGAGACGGCCATGTGTTGAGTTTACGCTCAAACCATCAACACGACAGTATTCTTAGAAGGCCATTCTATGTGAGGATTTTTGATTTTAAAACTGAGTTTGTAAAATGTATGAGCACAAGGGCACTGTACTTGCTTGGCCAAGAAAATTCAGTATTTTCGGTTGGTGACATAAATATTCCTTGTTATTTCCATTTTGAGTTCGTACTATTTTGTAGTAGAAACTAGATTTTTAAGATTATTTCATGTTCAGATAGTGGGATCAGACTGGTTGTAACACTATTCCTGACTGCTTGCTGGAGAAAAAGTGACCCCCACTTGCTGAGTGGTGCTTCTTTTGGGTTGAGTGTGCAGTTCCCACTGCCCTGGTCCCCTCTGGTGTCCACACCTGTGCTGCTCTGGTCTGGAATCTGAGTTATTGAACTCAGGATTCAATGAATCCAGCAGACCATCTGGTTAGTGCCTCATAGTCCAAGACACACATGATATTTAGAAATCTACAGCATGACAGATACCTAAAGAAGGATGGGGGGGATAGAATTGCCAACCTTGAGGCATCGTTTTATGAGCCCGGCACTGTATGAGGAGGGCTAAAGAGGTGCTTAGATCGTTCCGTCATCTGAAATGGTCTGAATTCTCCATGCGCCCCGCTTCACCTCCTCTATGCAGTTGGCGGGTGCCATGCCCTCCAGCGAGGGAACTTTCTCCATCCTCTCAGGAACAGAGCCCAGACGTAGGGGACTCGTGCGGCGCTGTGTTCTTTGAAACAGCAGCATGGGCTTCTGAGGTGCAGTAAGCTTGGATTGTCGGCAAGAAGACCGTGTCCTCGTCCTGTCTGCCGTCGCCCCCACTGTGAACCCTGTGGGTCCTGGGAGCCGGTGGGAAGCCCAGAGCCCCACTGGTGGCACCTGTCCAGCATGAGGTGGCAAACATCCCCGGGGAAGTGGATCTCTGTGCCTGCTTTACTCTCAGGAGACTCTTCCTGGTGTCAGACCAGATTCCCTCCTGCTGGGATTGAGCCTCCTCTCCTGCCCGATCCTCAAGAGGAGACAGAAGCTTTGGAAGCTTTCGGGCAACTGATCTCCTTTTAGGAGCCCTTCATGTGCTTAAATACTACTAAATTACTCTTCAGTCGTTTCTTCTCCAGACTAAATAATCTCAAGTTTGGGGCCCTTTCTCATAAGCCAGTCTCAGAAACCAAATTTCCAGCCGTTCAATCATTTTGTTCTTCTGTGGATATGTTCCAGTTTCTCCATGTCCCTGTTGAAATGTGAAACTCAAAAAGAACACGGTACAACCTGACCAGTACTATAAGTGATACAAATAGAAGAAATAGTCCTCAGGGGGCAAAAAAAAAAAAAACCCTCTGCTAGCTTCCCAAGAGCCCTGTTAACTTGCAACTGTATTCAAGAACTAGGAAATGTAGGAGCCTGCCTCCTTGTCTAGAGCACTTTGATAAAAATACTTAAAATTAAAATAAGTTTAATAGTCCTTACAGAGTAATAATAATAGTAGTATTTAGTGGCAAAGTAATTATTGATGGGGGGACTTAATAGATGTGACTGGGTCCCCAGTGAGTTCCACCCTCATTTCCACGTAGACATTTCTCAAATATCCCACAGGCACTTGAGGTGCGTCCTGCACAAAACCAGAGTCACAGTTGGCACCTTCACAATCCCTCCCGCCTCCGTTCCTCAGCTCAGTCTGTGGCCCCATGACCCACACAGCACCCAATCCAGGAGCCTCGTGGCCACCGCTCCTCTTCTCTCCTGCCACCCACTTCTCATTCAAACCCACATCTCCTCTTTTCTGCCTCTGAGTTCTCTTTGGAGTCCAGCCTCTGTAGCCACCACCACCACCTCGACTCAGAGCCTCTAAGGCGCTGACTTCGTGGGGAAAGTGCGAGCTGGGGTACAGGAATCCTGGGTGCCAAGGCCAGCCCGCTGCCTGTGTGACCTTGCGGGGGGCAGTTCATCTCTGAGAGTCTCGGTCACTCATAGAAAAGGAGCAGTGATTCCCTTGTGAGGTCCGAGTTGTGCGATGCAGAACATACCTAGGACCCCTCCCCGGGAGAGGGCAGAGGCCCCTGCCCGCTGCCAGCCGCTCAGGCTGTGTTTGGGCACAGCCAGCTCTCCCCACCCAAGTCCCGTCAAGTTCACTGCAGGACTGGAGGGCTCTCCCCTGTTCCTCTTCATCTGCAGAGTACAGTTCACGCTGCTTAGCCTGGACAGGGCCCCTGGGAACCAGCCCTGACTTCTCTGCGGCGTCACTTCCAGCCATGCTCTGCTTGGCCAGCTTCTCCTGACTCCCTCCACACTCTTGTTTCCTCCCTGCCTCCTTGCAGTGTGTCTAGTCCACTTGTCTGGTGGTTCTACTCCCTGTGGACATGTTGATTGCCAGCATCCGGCTGAATTTTCTAAGCATGTGGATCAGTGTCCAGCCTGTCATCTGTCGTCTAAGAGCTGAGCGTGGTGATGAGCAGGTGTGGGCTCTGTGGTCTCAGACTGTAACCGTGGCCTCTGATGTTTGGGGAGAATTCAGAGCAGCTTTGGCAAGGGGTGTCATCCAATTACTCTTGTTTTTTTAAGTTGTCTGTGGAAGTGTCTTAAGACAGATTGAGCTTGAGCACTATATAAATAAAAATCTATCCATCTTATTTTAGCAAATGTATGCGATTCCATTAATAGTCGTCTAACTGTGTGTGTCTGTGTGTGTGCACTCAGTTGTGTCCAACTCTCTGCAACCCTGTGGGCCGCGGCCCACCAGGCTCCTCTGTCCATGGGATTTTCCAGGCGATAATACTGGCATGGGCTGCCATCTCCTACCCCAGGGATTGAACCCGTGTCTCCCAGGTCTCCTGCATTGCAGGTGGATTCTTTACCACTGAGCCACCAGAGATTAGTTTACTTGAATCCATCATTTGAACTATTTCAGAATATACTTAGGTTGACAATAAAACTGACTCTATTTCTCAGTCTGCACTTCTTTAATATTTTTGCAAATGACTTGGTTTTCTTTCTCTTTTTTTGTATAGCCAACTAGAATTCCTAGTTCATGTTAAGCAATAGAGGAACTCTCAGGGATTTTTTTTTTCATACTTTCAACTAAATATGAAATATGTTCATCTCCTGACATGCTCTCATTTCTGGCTTGTTTCTGCAGCAACGTATGAGAACTTCATCCACCTGTTCATCGCTCTGCCCATTGCGGTTCTGTTGATAGTGGGAGGGTTGCTTATAATGCTGTACGTCTTCCATAAAAAAAGGTGAGTGCCTTGCTGTAAAGTTCAGACACTTGCTGCTTTGGACTGGTTTGATGATTTGAACCTGAGTTAAGATGAACTTTTTGAGGAGTTTAAGAAACTATCTTATGGATCAGAAAATCTGATTTTCCAGTCAAATGTTCTTTACAGAAAAAGAGAACATTTTCTAATGATTCAACAGCAGAAATATTTTTTTTTTGAGTCTGGTTGACCCATCACAGATATTGCTGCTTCTGCAAAGCTTTTTCAAACATGGTATTTTAACCCTGTCCATAAAATAAGCTTTCAATTTCTAATGAAGTAAGGAAAGAAATGTTTCTAATTTGAGGCCAAGGAGGAAGCCAAGAGAGGCGTTAGGGTGAGTTGTCCTGATGGCACTCCCCTTCCCCACTCCTCCTGGTCCTTGCTGAATCAGAACAAATAAAACAGATGAAAGTACAAACAGAAATGTGTGGGCTTTTTTTTTTTTTTTCTAACCTAAATTTCATCTTTTTGGCAGAAATAACAGCAGGCTGGGAAATGGAGTGCTGTATGCCTCTGTGAACCCGGAATATTTCAGCGCAGCTGATGGTAAGTCCCTGCCTGAGGTCCCAGTTTGGGAGCTTTTGAGTGTTACTAATTCAGGGGAAGAGGTTTGCGTTGTTTTGAGGGACATTTGACCTCAGATCTGTCTTCATTAATACTTTCTTTTTTTAAAAAACAAAGTTTTGAGCAGTTCACTGCATATGTCAAAAATTCTCGGACTGTCTGAGCTGCCCCAAGAGAAGACGGGCTTCAGAGATGAATGTGGCCAGCACAGTAATTCATTTAGTTAATTGCCTGAAATTTTATGCTGGAATGAAAAAAGCTGTGTAATTGTCAACATCTAGTTAGAAGATTGCTACAGCTGACAAAGCAGTCCTTTTAAACTAGTTTTACCTCAAGTTTCATGTTTTTAAAATTGTCTTTGATCACTGTGGCTTCTCAGCTTTCCATATCTTGGAGATTTTCTGTTCATTCCCTCCTGACTCGGGCCTTCATACCCTCATAGCCCATTCACATCCCCTCTGGTGATTACTTGTGAGAGCTGTTTATTTAAATGGCTGAGAAGGTCTGACTTGGAAGTTGGATCATTCCTTTTTCCCCCTTTTTTGCTATCTTGTCTTCCTAGTTTGCCAAAATCCAAACTTTTCAAAGTAAGTCGGGGTGAGCCCTTGGCCATTGGGTGCCTCTAACTGGCCCTTTGCTAGGGCATTCACAAATGCCTACCCATTTAATCCCTACATCCTTATGAAGGTGAAAGTGTTAGGCACTTAGTCATGTCTGACTCCTTGCACACCCGTGCATCGACTGTAGCCCACCAGGCTCCTCTGTCCCTGGGCTTCTCCAGGCAAGAACACTGGAGTGGGCAGCCATTCCCTTATCCAGGGGATCTTCCTGACCCAGGAATCAAGCCCTGGCCTCCTACATTGCAGGCAGATTACTTACCATCTGAGCCACCAAGAAACCCTATAGAATGGATTTTCTGATGCTTCTCTGTCTCTTCGTTGGGTGATGAGGCTCAGAGAAGAAACACGCCCAGGTCACAGAACTAGGCGGTTGAGAAGTCAGGGTAAAGCAGTCCCGGGCACCTTGTTAACGTGTGATGCTGTGAGGAAGGACTGTGAGGTTCTGGGGGTGTTGCAGGCAAGGGGGCCCATAGGAAGAGCTGGACCCAGTCTGTCAAATGCATAAAGAGTGGAATTAATTTAATGTGTTCAGAAAATTGTTTAACTCGTCATGCTTCAGAAGTAGAAGTGTATATGCAAGAGACATGAAATAAAGAGTCCTGATTGTTCTAACTGCTCATCCTCATCAAATGAGGAAATGATTTAAAGCACTATATGTATAAGTGTGTGATTTTTACTACTGTGATTTCTTTAATAATTTCTAGTTCAAACGGTGTTTACAATAGAACCAGTCAAAAGCAGAGTCCTCTGAATGGGAATCAAATGTAGAATGACGAGGACATTATAAAGGTTTCACGAAGCTGTATTTTTAAAAGGCATATATGTGCTTCCTTGGTGCTCCAGTGGTTTAAGAATACTCCTTGCAATGCAAGGGACACTGATTTGATCCCTGGTCGAGGAAGATCCCGCATGCCAGGGAGCAGCTAACCCCTTGAGCCATGGCTGCCGGGCAAACACTCTCAAACCCACAAGCCACAGGTACTGAAGCCTGCACACCTGGAGCCTGAGCTCTGCCGCAAGAGAAGCCTCTGCGGTGAGAACCCTGCTCAGCAACCAGAGAAAGCCTGCGTGCCGCAGCAGAAGGCCACCACAGCCAAAAATAAAATGGATAATGTTTTTAAACTAAAAGGCATATATGCATACACACATACCTATACATCTGTGCGTGTGTGTATAAGGCACAGAGAATGTTCTGGAAGGATACATGCCAGACTTAAAAGAGTAATTACTTGTGGAGAGGGTCTTTTTCTTAAAAAAAAAAAAAAGATGATTTTTATGCATTGTTTATGTAAATGTAGTTTTTAATCAATTAATCTAACATAGATTATTATTATTTGTTTATTAATAACTTATTATTGATATAGGAAAATGTAAGGCCACTTCCCTGCTCTATTGGTTTGGAGTAAGCCTGCTGTAGAGAATAAAGCATATAAGATTGGCATTTGCAAGTATCTAGGAAGTTTGAGAGAGCACAATCAAATCAGACTCTAATGGCGATTTGAATTCAAGTTCTGTGTCTTTCCAGAGTGCTTTCATAATATAGTCTCTTGATTCTTTAAAAACAAAACAAAGCTTACTATCACTCAGGCCAACAGGTAGAAATACTGTCACCTTATTTGAACTTAATTTATTTGGCCTTTGGACAAGCGTCTTATAGCTAGTTTCCTCAAAGGGCAACAAAATGACATCACAGTTCAAAAATGCTTAAAAAACTTCTCTCTCTGAGAGCTAATCTGCATGTCACCATTCTCCAAGCACACTGAAAAATCCCCTCCGGGGAAACGCTGATAGCATTGTGCACAGAAGCCTCTGCTGCCCGGCAGGGCTTAGGACTGCTGGCTAAAGTCAGAGCTGCTGGGTTGAATTGAGAGAAGGGATTGTGAGTATTGACTTCAGCCACCTCCAAGGGATGAATGTGATTGGGTTTAACTCCGTGTTTCATGGTGTGCTACGTAGCTAATTCTGACTAAAAGCAAGCCTGGATTTTCAGAGATAAATGGATATAGACTGTCTCTTTATACTTTCTGAGGGGTATCAGAAAGAGTCTTACCTACTGGGATGTCTTCCGTACTTACTCTCCTAAGCAAGCATCAACCTCCTCTTCCAGGCTATAAACTGTCTAAGCCGTATGGAGGGTGGAGTTCCATTTGTGACATTCCTGAACACATACCTACCTACTATGAAATACAAAAATGTATGTGAAAGAAAATTCTATATTGATTAACATAGTTCATATTGGACATTCCTTAGAGATGTAAATTGGTGGTATCTCCTGGGCCTGATTCATAAACATCTTTACAAGAATGTCAGGATACAGCTGTCAAGCCACTTCTCTTACATCCAGCCGAAGGCCCACAGTTAACACCTAAAAGCATAAAGGCAAACACAGGTTCCCAGTCTTCCTGCATTTCTGAGCCAGGACCATCTCTTTCTGATTAGTGGAGCCAGCCAAGGGTTCCCCTCTCAGACAAGCACATGAGCACGCAGCATTAGAAGAATATGGTTATAATTGAAATTTCTTATGGATCTGTGGAACAAGTACATTTTATTTTAGTTCTCACCTACCCATCAGAGTGGTCAGATGGATTTTCTTCCGTTTTCTTTCTTTCCTCCCTTCTTCCTTTCCCTCTTTCTTTCTCTTTCCTCCTGCCTAGAATTATTTATTTTCTTAAACCAGCTTGAATCTGACCAGAAGCATAGGCTGGAGAGGAAATCATATTCAGGCTTAGTCATCGCCAAGCCTCACTCCTCAGCCCCTCACCCCAGTGGTGGGAGGGTCCCTGAGTTCACAGAGCCCAGGCCCAAGTCCTGGGGAGACCCTTTTGCTCATCAGCTGTCCCTTCCTCCATGCTGGTCACCACTGACTACTCCTCGGTAGTAACGAGCAGTGAGACAGAGCTCATCGCTTCCATAGCTCACTCAGGGCCCCAGGGTCTCTGACTCTGTCCAGGCTAGAGCAGAGCTACCCATGGAAGTGTTAATGCCGGCCCCCTAAGAAACCTGAAATGTTTCTAGTAGCCACATGTAAAATAGGAAAAAGAAACTAGTGAAATACATATTGATAATGTTTTCTTTAACTCAGTATATCCAAAGTATTATCAGTTTTAATATGCAGTCAGTATAAAAATTATTGAAGTGTTACATTTTTTGAAATCCAGTGTGAGTTTTATACTTATAGCAACATCTGAAATTGGACAACTTTGTGTTTCTTACTTGCCGTTGGTATCTTTGAATTATCTGGAAATCCGTGAGGACTTGAAAACCTAATGTTTGACTGTACAGTGGCCTTGCTGAGATCCCTAGCCTGTGGGGGATTCCAGAACAAGCCACATAGCCGTGTCCCCCAATGCTCTCCTCTGTGGGCTTCAGGAAGTGGCAAAGTCCTCCTTGGCGAGGAGTTTGCCCAGACTGTGCTCTGCCCACCCACGGTCCCGCTGGCTCAGCCCCGGCCTCTTCCTTCCCAGTGTACGTGCCTGACGAGTGGGAGGTGGCCCGGGAGAAGATCACCATGAGCCGGGAGCTGGGCCAGGGCTCCTTCGGGATGGTCTATGAAGGCGTGGCCAAGGGCGTGGTCAAGGATGAGCCCGAGACCAGGGTGGCCATTAAGACGGTGAATGAGGCCGCCAGCATGCGCGAGCGGATCGAGTTTCTCAATGAGGCCTCGGTGATGAAGGAGTTCAACTGTCACCATGTGGTAAGAGTGGGCCCTGGGTGTGGGCCACACACACTCACCCCGGCTTCCACGGGCTCCCAGCCACCCCACTCTTCCCTTACATGCTGTGCACACGAGGTTCCAGATGCGGTGCAGGGCCGGCCCGTGAGCCCCCCCAGAGGCGCCCGTCGTCCAGCTCTGCTCCCGCCCGGCAGCCCCGGCAGCGGGGGAGTCCTCACCTGCTCAGCCCTTCTCTGTCTTTCCTCACAGGTGCGCTTGCTGGGCGTGGTGTCCCAGGGCCAGCCGACGCTGGTCATCATGGAACTGATGACCCGGGGGGACCTCAAAAGTTATCTCCGGTCTCTGAGGCCAGAAATGGAGGTAAGTTTTGATTTTCATCTGCATCCCATGTCGTCTGTTCCCTTTCCTTTAGAACCTTCCCCAGAAGATACTGTGTCTTTAAATTCATGTACTTTTCTTGCCGCATGCTTGGTTCTCCGTCCTTTATAGCTGCAGTCCCCAAGCATTTTGGCATCAGGGACTGCTTTCATGGAAGACAGTTTTTCCACAGACCAGAGCCGGGGGATGATTTGGGGATGACTCGAGCGCATTACATTTATTGTGCACTTTGTATGTGTGCTAAGTCGCTTCAGTCGTGTCCAACTCTTTGCAACCCTGTGGACTATAGCCCTCCAGGCTCCTCTGTCCATGGGATTCTCCAGGCATATTGGAGTGGGTTGCCATTTCTTCCTCCTGGGGATCTTCCCGACTTAAGGATCAAACCCACATGTCCTGCATTGCAGGCCGATTCTTTACCCACTGAGCCACCTTGAGGGAAGCCCTTATTGCGCACTTTACTTCTAATCTAATGCCGATGCTGATCTGACAGGAGGTACTGGTTGGTGGCCCAGAGGCTGGGGACTCCTGCTTTATACGAAGGAGTTCCCTGACTATAGCGAGACCTGGATCTTCAGTGAGAGGCCCTTGCCAGTGCGCAGATACCCTGTTAACCAAACCCCTGTGGGGTTTTGCTGCTGCCTCCTTCTCTCTACCCCCGCGTCACCTCCTGCAGCACCATCTCTCCAATTCCCACCCACAGACCTGTCCACCCTGCTGCCTCCCTGTAGCCTTTCCTGCCCCCCACTCTGGGGGTACCCATCTCGGCTGCCTCCTCTTGGGCCGAGCTTGTCAGAGTTCAGTGTCAGGTTGACCTGACTCCTCTGCCGGGATGGCTTCCCCCAGGTTGGTGCACAGACTCCCACTCCCTCCTCAGCCCCCACCTCACGTGCTCCTTCTCCCCTCGCGTGGGCAGTCTGAGCCGTTGAGCCGAGGGAGCCCTATTTCTGAAAATGGGGCTCCCCTCCTGCATCCGCATTTCCGGCTTTATCTTCAGTCATCGTCTTGCTTGAGCTTCTGAATGATCATAGCCTCAGCTGAACTCATGATCTCTGCCTGATCTCAGGAAAAATATCAATTTGTATTACAAGCTTCAGGTTCACCACTGTGGTGTCTCTCCTTTGGCAGCGTGAACCCAGCTTTTAATAATTTGGAGACATGACTTTTAAGAGAGTAGCTCTAAGAGTAAACTGGGAGATAAATTCTTAGAGGGAATACCAGCCACATCTGCCTTCCACTTGACTGCCTCGCTGGGTCTCCAGTCCTCACTCGGATCCTGACCTTGCTGCCTATTGAGGAAGCATTGGGTCTGCTGTACAAGCCTTGGACCCTGCCCTTTCTTTACCCTTTTTGAATGTCTGCAGCCTGTCTCTGAGCTTAATCCTTTGTTTCTTCTTTTAATTGGCAATTGAATCATCTCCCAAATAGTAGTTCCTTAATTTTTGTTCCAAGCACTCGTTCACACGTGGCTTCCTTTACTCACAGCCGATGGGTGTGGTTCTGCGAGGCCCACAGAGCCGGGTGTGGACCGAGGCCCTGAGCAGGGTGGTTTGCGACACGCCCACCCTTTGTTCTGCCTGGTGGGGCGCCCAGCTCCCCTGGACCTCAGTGCTTTGTCCCAGCCGGCTCCGTGATACCCAGACCAGCACAAGGAGAGAGGCTTCATCAGCTGGTGGCTGGAGACGTGGCAGCATGTTTCCTGTCAGATTCACTGACGCCACCTCTGAGGAGCCTGGAGAACTCGCTTCCTTCATCCCCAGTCTCAGACACGGGATAAAAAGTCCGTCGCCCTCAGCCTGGCTCTGCCACTAGCTGTCTGTGCCCTCAGGTGGTGGTTTCGGGCTCTGGGCCTTGGTTTCCTTCCATGTGCATAAGATGGTTGGTCCTTCTCATATCAAAATTTCACTTTTAGGTTTGTCAGATTTAGAGTTGTGCTTCTAACCCATGTCAAGTATAAAGCTGTGTGTGCTTGTCCTGTAGTTCTGTTATGTTCTGCATCGCATCCCACTCCCCAACCCGTGAGGTTCACACATTCCCCTCGCTGACTGTGGATGCTCGTGTGTGCACGTCTTAAGTAGTTCTAAGCAAATTAAAGATTTCTGTTCTCTAAAACATCTAAAAGCATGGCAGTATTAGCACCGTGAACTGACAGAAAGTCAGCCCTCTCTTTCAGTAGTTAAAATCAGGTTCCTTTCTTTGCTTCTGTTTGTTATATTAATCATGAATGGCCACTTGTAATAAAGAAAGAAAGTGAAGACACTCAGTCGAGTCTGACTCTTCGTGGCCACATGGACTATGGCCCGCCAGGCCCCTCTGTCCATGGAATTTTCCTGGCAAGAATACTGGAGCGGGTTGCCATTTCATTCTCTGTTTGTCATATTAATCATGAGTGGCCACTTCTAATAAGCACCTAACTTAATACTCCACAACATCTTGGGCATAAACTTAACATTTTACCTGCCAGTTTCCTAGTGTACCAGGCACATCTAAAGCCCTGGAAAGGCTCATCCACACAACGCCCTTTGTAAAGGAAAGGACTGTGCTGGCTTACCCTTCGGGTCATCTCATCACTTCCCCAGGCAGCTCAGTGATGAGGATTTTAAACCACAGACACTCCTGATAGTAGCTTCAGGATTCAAGTGTAGGGAACCAACCCATAAGTACTTGGAAAGTTGTTACCCTACTTCTAGAAGCAAGCTTTGGGGCAGAAACTGCCCCCCTCAGTGGGCAAAGCCAGCAACTCCTAGGCATGGTCCCCGGTCATCCTCCTAGCAGTAACCCCGCCTTGACCCAGGGGTGTGAAAGAGCCCAGGCCGGAGCCAGTGCACTCTCTTTTCCTGTGGCCCAGGGTTTGAGCTGGGGAGGGCGCGCACGGGCCTGTCAGAGCAGGACGGCTTTTCATGTCACAAGAGGTGCTCTCTAGTCAGGGAAACTGAGGTAAAGTGTTGGACTCACACAAGCAAGAGATGGTCAGCACAGAAACCTTTTGGGATAAAGAAACGTGGCCACACATTTTATATGATGTTTTTCTAAGTGGACTTATCATTTGGGGGTATTTCTTTTCAGTGCCGAAGTCGGTATGTTGCCCTCCTCTACAAAGAGGAAATGTTTACCCATGTTACTTGTTGGACATCGGTCCGCTCCAGAGTAGGTGTCCGCTGGACTTAAATGAACTGTCAAGGGCTTGCTTTCCACAGCACGCACAGAAAATTATAACCCAAGGAATGCCACTCTGTAAGGGGAACAGATTAGTCTTGATGTCTTTGTACTTTAGAAGAAAGTGGAAGGGAAAGAGAAGGATTAAGTAATTTATAACAAAGCTTTCGTGGGAAATAATGCATCCGGTATCCATTCAGGAAACCCGTTTACTTATTTCCACACGACCTCTGTAATGTCCTCTCCCTTTTCCCTGTATGGGCTTGAATTGTAGACGTAAAAGGAAGACTTAGACTAATTGGACTTTGAGTATCCAGAATTCTTAATATCAGAAATCACTGGCTTCACTTTAAATGCTGTTGGTCCCACCCAGCACCAAAGGTCCGAGTTGTGCTCGTAGGTGCTTCTCTCTGCAGCTCCGTGTTGGGTCAGAGGGCAGCACCACGGCATCCTCCTGAGCCCATCCTGTTTTCCTCGCAGAGTGACTTGGGGTGCTCAGGTTGAGAAAAAGAGGATTGACAAACCCTGAAAGAGCATGGGATGGGAAAAATTCCTAAATTCTCATGTGTATCTTTTTCTGACTCTCCAACAGAATAATCCAGTCCTAGCACCTCCCAGCCTAAGCAAAATGATCCAGATGGCTGGCGAGATTGCAGATGGCATGGCATACCTCAACGCCAATAAGTTTGTCCACAGAGACCTCGCTGCCCGGAACTGCATGGTGGCCGAAGATTTCACAGTCAAAATCGGAGGTGTGTTCTTAGCTTTTCAGATCTGAGCTAAAGTCGCACGTGTTTTAGGGACCCCGTGGGCATGAACCTACCTGTGGAGAGGTCTTCCTATGCTTCCTGTGATGGCAGAGGCTTGCTCTTGGGAGTCATGTCATTGTGTCCCACTGGTAGTCAACCAGCCAGGCTGGCTCTGATCTCGATGGCACATGGGCACAGCGGTCCAGGCAGTGGGCAAGGGCGAGCTGAGGCCATGATCCTTGTGGTTGCCTCTCCTGGCACTTGGGGCATTTCTCGGCAGAATAGCTGTAAGCACCGGTTCCAAGAATAGTTGAGAAAATGTCCTCAGGAGATTTTGACTTGGGCCTTAAAGTCACCATCCAGGTGACCAGTATGTCCTCCAGTTTTCCAGTTTACAAGGGGTATTAGCTCCCCCACAACAATCAGCAGTCCATGGAGTTTTCTAAGAGGTGAGGTCCCCTAGGTGAATCCGTGCACCGAGCGGGAGTGTTGACAGGAAGGTGGTAATCCCTCGGCGGGGGAAGACCACTGCTCTCCAGGGCTCGCACTTGAGCTGATCAGCCTCTGAGCTCTTGATGCTTGTGGTGTGTGCTAAGTCGCTTCAGTCTTTGTGGCCAACTCTTTGTGACCCTATGGGCTGTAGCCCTCCAGGCTCCTCTGTCCATGGGATTCTCCAGGCAAGAATACTGGAGTGGGTTGCCATACCCTTTTCCAGGGGATCTTCTTGATCCAGGGATCAAACCCGCATCTCTTACATCTTCTGCATTGGCAGGCGGGCTCTTCTGGCCCCACCTGGGATCTTCGTCGTAACCCTGACTTGGTGTCTAACCAGCCTGCTCCTTAGAACCTTGCTGTCACTGCCCACCGTAACAGCAGAAGTGTGGAGTGGCTTACATTTCTGGTCACTGGTTAGGAGTTGATTTCAGCCTTTAGGCTTGGTTTTAACTGTAGGCCTTGAAGCTGCTTGATCAACACACATGTGACGTCAGGGCTGCTCAGGAACCACCTGCTCTTCCCACTGTGAGATGACCATGGCTCAGAAAAATGCTAAATATTTATTCTGAGAAGCTGCAGGAAGACCTTACATTCAAAAGCTATTCAAAATCAGCCTCTTTGCCTAGCCCATAAACTGTCTGTTCTGGAAGTGTTCACCATCCTTTAGCAGTGCTGTGGTTTCTTCTCATTCACACAGTGATTTTGAATGAATATTTTGGCCCTTTGATGAACAGTGAGTAGCCCCTCTAGAATGCTTTCCCAAGTAGGATGTCTTTATCTTTCATTTGTAAGGTGCTTGAGGTGTTGGATGGAGCTGTATCACAGAGCGGATATACTTGGCCATCAGTCACTTCATGTGTCCCTAGATTTGGCCCTTTGATGCTCCCGAGAGTCTGAGAGGCTGTCCTGCCCCAGGGTTCCCAGGGAAGGCCCTCAGGCCGCTGCCGGGGCTTCCTCTGTGCGCCCCCTCCCTTCCCCGCCCTTCTCAGCGGTGACTCAGACTATTCCCACATGGATACCCACCAACTCCTCTTCCCCAGCTGTGGAGCCAGGCAGCTGCTAACTAGACTGAAACCTGGCTCTGCCACCAGCAGCCTCGAGGCTTGAGGCAGGTGTCTTAAGTTCTGTGAACCTCAGTGTCTTGACCTCAGAAGGGGGCATGATTGTAAGAGCCGTGAGATGCTGGAGGGAATGGTGCGGGACGGCCCAGGGCGCCTCAGTGCCTGGCTCGGGCACGTCCTAACTCACTACTGCTCCCTCGTGGCCCTGCCCGCCCCGCAGTGCCACTGAGAATGCCCCCAAGAGCCGTTCTTGTGCCACTTGCCGCTGAGAGTCCAAATCAGCAAGGACTCAGTTTGCTATTTAACCAGGTGGCATATCTGTAGTGACATTTCCTTTGTACTTGGGTTTTTCTTCCTAAAATTTGAAGTTTTTCTTTTGAGTTAAGGAAGGAATAGTCTGTGCTCTTTTTCTGGGATTTCTTTTTTCTTTTTTCCTTTTTGTGCAAGTAAAAGCAAATCCTCTATTTTGCATGTCACTGGATTAATTTGGAGATAAGACTTCAGCTCTTCATTTTTATTCTTTACTAGGGTTTGAAAATGTTTTTCTAATGCCCAGTGTCTGATGGATTACAAATATACAGCAAGCAATTTTACCAGAGGCAGTTCAGTGGCCCTTAGCATGGGACAAGGAAATTATGTTGGTTAGCGTCCAAGGAACTTTGTTCTCTGTGTTTGCTTTGTAGCCTTACCTCTTTGTGGCAGAGCTAGAGACATAAATGAACATTTTAAAAAGGAGAGCGGCCCTTTCTCCTGAGGAGGAGACGGAAGACACCCTGTAAGGAGAGGTTACATGATTGAGTGGAAAATCAAAATCTGACAGAGAAGCAATCATTTAGGATTATAAAGCAAGCCTGCCATCAAACATAATTATGTGACTTCTTCTAGAGTCATGGAAAATGGAAGACATTTTCAAAAATGAGTGGGAGTATTATGTTGAAAAACATTATTGAGTAATAGCTTCAGGGCCTAGTAAATAGCATCTCTTAGGCAGCTTGCTGTGGACTTTTTTTACGGTGAATTGGTACTCTCAATATTTTCCCCCTTATTAGATGGTAAAACTACTTTCATTTCCTCTGATAATGAGGCGGTGCTACCAAGTAAATAAAGTCAACATGCTCCTGGCTATTTGATCATGTTTTTAAACCACAAATAAATGACCTTTGCTGTACACAGTATGTATTCTCCTGATAATATGTGGGTCTTGATAATTTGTAAGATGCCTCTCATTTTAAATGCAATGAGGGAGCTAACTTTTTAACAGAACTACGGTATAAATATATTTAAAGGCAGAGATGTCCGGGCATTTGCTTGTCGTGTGACTCACCGACCCTCAGAGTTTCCGCCTCATCAGACGGCAGCGCGGACACCTACACCCTTGGCTCGGCCGCGGGCACAGGCCTTCTCTGAGCCGTCATTGTTCTCTCCGCTTCTGCCCCGCAGTGCTCACCCAGGGTAACCTCATGCCCTCTCTCCTCCTCACAGATTTTGGGATGACGAGAGACATCTATGAGACGGACTATTACCGGAAGGGGGGGAAGGGGCTGCTGCCCGTCCGCTGGATGTCCCCCGAGTCCCTCAAGGACGGAGTCTTCACCACTCACTCTGACGTCTGGTACGAGTCCTGTCCTGTCCTCCCGTTGTCTGTTCCCTGGTGCTCGTGTCCAGCCTTGGCTGAGTGTGGTGCGGGCCACCCCCTCGCCGTGGACACATCCCCGTTGTCAGTGGGCACTTGTGGGACCTAAACTTGCAGGACCAATATTTCTTTCAGTGCTGAGCTGCTCACCCAGTTGTTAGCAGACCTAGAGACACAGCCCCAGAGGCTGGGAGGTGGGGACATGCCAGAAAACATCACCTCTTTCTGCTTCATCCCCTGCCTGCCTTCTCTCATTTTCTTTCACAGTAAATGATAGCGTGTATGGGGGTGGGGGTTTGCTTCACCTAATTAAACCTTCAGATTGCAAACATTGCTTATTTTAGAGCCAAAGCTTGAGTCTTGATGTGTTTTCCTGCTGGTCCCATCTGCTGTCTGCCCTCTTCCAGTGGGTCTTCCAGGGGGTCATCGTTGTTGACCCAGGGATGGGGTGGAAAGCAAAATGTCCCCCTTGGTCATGGGCATACCTCTCAGTTGAGGATGCAGAAGCCTCTCACTCGCAGTGTTTGTGGAGAGGTGGTCAGGTTCTGAAACACGACTGAAGTTGTTGGCAGGCGAAGCCCTGGCACGTCTGCCTTCAAGAACGTCAGCTAGTTTCTTGGCTGTCCTCTGGGGAGATCCCGTTGCTGATGTATCACAGAAATGGTAGTTGTTTACTCCAGCCGTTGGGATGACCACATAGAGGAGCTATTTAAACACTGACAGACGTCATTTTTTTTTTAAACTCTTGACCCTTTCCACACAGTTCAAGGACCTTGGATCCTGTTTTGAAGACAGGTGCAAATTGGAAATAGCATCAGAATATGACCCAGCAAAGCATGATTGCTTCTTGAGCTCAAGTATGAGATCTGTTTTGCAATCAGTCCGTTCAAGATGCTTCTCTCTTCATGATCAAATCAAAGTGCTCAACGCCATTTTTAGATACAGAGATGACGGGGAGGGGCAGGCCTGGGTCCATGCTGCGTCTGTTTATTCTGGGATCCCTGCTTCCAACAACTTTGAGGTCAGCTTACAGGACAATAAAATAGAAAACCACGGGAGCCAAGGAAAACAGGGGCAGGGCAGAAAGATAAAACTAGAGTTGTTGATATCCCAGAGGCTAAGTTTACCAAATTCTGGTTAGCAGTGATTGTGACAAGCTGCAGCAAAGCGTGTTCATTGCCATTTTTCTCCCATTTGATGAGACAGATATTATGAACCAGGAGAAAAAAAATATATATACAAACAAGAGTAGGGATTTCACCTTCATTCCATTCACTGTTCAGGCCTTGACAGTGCTTTAGCATTTTTTTTTAATAGTCCTTGAGGATAACACTGGTAAGGTGGGTAGGCCAGGATGATGGAGAATATAGAGGGCTTTTCAGTGGCCCAGAATCTAAAGTGCTCCCTCTTGAAGGAATGAAAATCATTTCTGAGTGTATTCAATGGCACAGGACACTCCTACAGAGTTAAAGTCTAGAAAGAAATGCAAAGAAGTGTATTTGACTTTGAAGGAAATACCTCAGAATTTTAGGATAAGAAGGTGTTCTGAGGTCAGGACTGGTCCCCGAGCCCCATCTACAGCACCCCTGACAGCTGGTTGTTGAGCTTCTGCTCACATATTTTCCTGGTACTGCTACTTCCTCTCCCACAAGACAGACTGCCCTGATCCTTAAGACATGCTTGGGTTGGCAGGTGTTACTCATGCTGTGCTTAAGTTGGCCTCTTGTTGATACCCCGTTGGCCCTTCTCTCCAGTTCACAGCCTGCTCTGGTTTTGATAAGACAGGCCTGGAGTCACAAGGAAGTGGTCTCTTTTCTCTGCTTGAAATGTCTCTGTGTTTCCCTGCTATCCTCGGAGGCATCATCCCCAGGCCTTGGGCACTGCGCTTGTTCCTCCTATAGCTCCCTTGTAGCTAGCAGCGTGTCCCACAGGAGTGGCTCCTTTGGGTGAGAAGACACAGGTGTGCCTCTAGGCAGGGAGAGACCAAGCCCAGGACTTGGGCGTGGAACCCCCAGCTTGAAGGCGCGTCTCCTTCCTGAGCAACTGAATCGCCTATAACAGTCTGCATCTCCTGACTTCCTGAGAAGCTTTCCAGATGGCAACAAGCATCCAGAGTCTTCTGCTCCCTCCTAGAGTTGTTGGTTCTTCAGTGGCAGTCACATCAGCAGGGAGTGTGTAGGCTTCCATTTGCTGGTGAGTGGGAGCTTGACCATTCCTGTCCTGGTGTGAGGCGTGCTGACCTTAACCTGCACTGGAATTGATGTGAGACTCACACCGGGTTGTCCCTTCCTTGGGGAAAACACCCTGATGCTCATAATTACGAAAGACTTCACACAAGTACATTTGCCTAATGTTTAAGGATTAAATGCACAAAATTCGAGACTGGGTTTCATATGAGGCATTGATGTCAAGTCACACTGTAAATGACCTGCTCCTGAGAACCTGCAGGTATCACATATTCCTTAGTGTCTCTGGCTGTGTGGCTTTGGTCAAATCATGGCACATCTGTGGACTTCAGCTGCTCATCTGTGAAGTAAGATCTATTTGGGGATGTCTGAGGAACCTCAACATTCAGAAAACTAAGATCATGGCATCGGGGCCCATCACTTCATGGCAGGTAGCTGGGGAAACAGTGGAAACAGTGTCAGACTTTGTATTTTTGGGCTCCAAAATCACTGCAGATTCATGGGGTCGCAAAGAGTCAGACACGACTGAGCGACTGAACTGAGGAACCTCGACAGATCTTTAAATGGCCCCTGTGACAGCTGGTGACGACAGGAAGGCATATTGGTGATGGAGAGAGATATGTTAGCCTCCATAACTTGGGACAGAAATATGACCGAACTCAGCTAGTCATGTCCTGTGCAGGACACCCAGACTCCAGCACTGTGTGGCCCTCACTGACAGGTGACACTGACATCAAACCAGAGTTGCTCCGGGGAAAGCCTGTGGGGAGAGCCGACTGTGTTACCTGCTGTGTTCCTCCATGGGTGTGCCCTGACATGGCCCAGGCACGGCACCCAGTGCATGCAAGAGCAGGATGCTGGAGACCCGGTCCCAGTCCCTGGTGAACGAAGTCTTGTGGAGAACAGGAAGTGACCCTGACAGGCTGAGGTCTGGACCCCCTTCCCAGAAGAGCTGGAGTTGTGGGCCCCCTGCACTATGGACTGTCCCCTGTGGAGCAGTGAGGACGCTGGGGGGAGCCGCAGTGGTAGGAAGCCGCTGAGTGCATGTGGGGGACGGTGGGACTTCCTCAGGGGAGTCAGCAGAAAAGAGAGCGAGTGAGACCCTGGCTGCTATGTGAGGGGGTCAGGGCGAGTTCTTCAGGCTCGATAAGGACTTTCAAGGGTGCTGAGCAGGAGAGGGACCTAGAGCCATGTTTAAAGAAGTTCGTGATACCTAGAGTGTAAAGCTCCATCACGTACGATGTCGGTGCCAAAAAGGAGGTGTCCTGCAGGCCAGGCGAGGGGGCCATCGGCACTGAGGCCATGCTGGGGATCTGGAAGGAGGGAACCAGACCTTTGGGCGAGTCTGAGCCTGCGTAAACAAGCTGTGGTGGTGCTCTGAGAGGCGCAGGAAGGACGAGCTCAGGGCGCTGTCAGATGGGAAGAACAGGGTGACAAGACAGGTGAGACCCGGAGCTCGGAGGGGGCAGCAGGCACTGGGGGCTCAGGGCGGCGCCACCCAGCAGGCGCTGGCTGCCTGGCAGCCGCCGAGGAGCGCTCAGGGCAGGAGGAGCCATGGGCCTCGGGGAGGGGCATCTGCAGGTGATTCTTCAGTCCAGGCTTGCGGTCAGTTGGGCGCCGCAGCCTCTGAGGCGGTGACCAGGCTGATTCTGTCTGCGAGACCCCTCAGCCCACACTGACGGGGGGCCCACACCCTCAGCCGGGCCTGTGAGCACCATGCTCAGGCCTTGGGCTTTGCTAGACGCCTCGTGCAATGTCAAGACTATTTCTTGGTCACTGAGGTTCAGAAGGACTTTGGGTGGGTTGATCCTCTGAGGACTAAAATTCTGAATGTCTGACACCTGCTCTCAGCACCAGTTTGAGCTCTGGGCGGGAAGGGATGCCCCAGAATTTTTGGTGCGACTTTGCCCACACCCCTGGCCTGCAAAGGTCCAGTCGGAAGCCCCTCAGGCTTGCTCTTCACTGCTGAGTGGCCAGCTTTAATCTGTGGAAATGAGCTGAATAGAAAGGCAAATAGACCATGGAGAATTTGTGAAGGATAGTGATGTGTGCTGGGAAGGCACTTCTGTTCTGCAGTTTACAGCACTGCCCTTTTGAACGTCCTCGGTCTGAAGTCCCTGGGTATGTGTATATCTGTATTAGTTTGTTTTCCAGGAGTACTGGAAAACAGTTGTGTCCAATTCTTTGTGACCCTATGAACTGTACCTTGCCAGGCTCCTCTGTTCATGGGGTTTCCCAGGCAAAAATACTGCAGTGGGTTGCCATTTCCTTCTCCAAGTAGTAGGATCTTCTAAATCGACCAGCAGAAGCACATTCAAGGCAGATTGCACTTGAACCTGCTCCCCTTGCTGACTTGGTTCCTCGGCTACCCACTCCCCCCTTGGCTCAACTCTGGGCCGAAGGATCCTTCCTGGTATGGGAGCCCTGCCCCAGCCAGTTCTGCCCACCGCTGTCCCCACCTGTGAGGCTGAACCCCGCCTCCCCAGGCCTCCCTGGACCTGTAAGATCCCCACTGAGCTTTTCAACATCCCAAAGCCAAGGCTCCTAGCCCAGATCAGTGAGGTCAGTCGAGGGCCCGGGGCACGGGTATGTGTTAAGAACTCACCAGGGGAGCCTGACCCGCAGGCAGCATTGAGAGCCACGTAGGTTGAAGTTTCCAGAACGGGAAGTTTGTTGAACAGCTTGCTCGTCCCAGACGGCATTTGAGGCCACTGAGTCACTGTCCTAGCCAGGCCTGGGGACCAGCATTTGATTATCGGTGGGATAAAGGACGTTCACCCGGGGCTCCCATCAGAGGTCAGGCGCTCGCGGGCCCTGAACATGCTGTCCTCTCAGCTGGCAGAGCCTGCCCCTGGGGCTACCACACACGAGGCAGCTGTTCCACACTTAGCCCACGCCTGGCTCGTGCCTGACGTGCACTCAGTTGCCGGAAGGGAGGGGGCTCCCGGCCCCATCCTCCCTTTCCGAGCACCTCACGTTTCTTCTCTCCTGGCAGGTCCTTTGGGGTTGTCCTCTGGGAGATCGCCACGCTGGCCGAGCAGCCGTACCAGGGCCTGTCCAACGAGCAGGTCCTTCGCTTCGTCATGGAGGGTGGCCTTCTGGACAAGCCGGACAACTGTCCTGACATGCTGTACGTATGTGCCGGGTCCCTGCGGCCTGGCCGTGCTGGACTGGCCAGAGCAGTTGAGATGAGGGTTTATCTTAACGGAAGAACCTGGGCATTTGGGCTGGTGCCTTAATCCCACCCCGTCTTCCTTAATCCTAGGAAGATTTTTGCATTGCAGTTTCTCAGGCCAAACATCTTTGTGAAATACTTGACCAAAGCGATCCCTGCCAATCTTCTCCAGGCAGGGTTGTTTTAAAAAAAAAAAAAAAGCAGCAACCTGACACTTGATTACTCTGAAACCACAGTCCTGGGCTGCTCCCCAGCCATTGGCAGGGCTCCTCCAGGCTTCCAGGGGTGACCTCAGACCTGCTGCAGGCCGCTCCAGGACGCTGCCACCACCTGCGTCCCCCTCAGGTTTCTTCTGTTAGGTGTTTACAAAAGTCGTAAGAAGTGTTAGGGGTGGGCTTCTCCTCCAGCAGCCGTGTGGACCGGAAGGCAGTTGAGGGGGCCTCCTGGCACACAGTTTTCTGTCCTGAGATTCGTCGGGAATGGGAAACGGTCCAGCAGCCTCATGGGCCTCCCTGCTCGGTGTTCCTAGGGCAGGGGTGTTCCTAGCCCCTCTGTCTGGGGAAACGGCTCAGCAGCCTCATGGGCCTCCCTGCTCGGTGTTCTTAGCCCCTCTGTCTGGGGAAACGGCCCAGCAGCCTCATGGGCCTCCCTGCTCGGTGTTCCTAGGGCAGGGGTGTTCCTAGCCCCTCTGTCTGGGGAAACGGCCCAGCAGCCTCATGGGCCTCCCTGCNGGTCGGGAAGGCTCGGTTCACTTGGTCTCTCAAGGTTTCCATGGATCAGGAAATGGGGACGTTGGGTCCTCTGCTCCATGTGACAAGGTTGAGATCAAGATGTCAGCCCGGCTGTGACCATCTAGGGCTCCCAGGCCCCTTTGGGCTGCTGTCAGGAGTCGGCTCCTTGTGGCTGTAGGACTGAGGTCCCCGGGTCTGCTGGCTCCCAGCTCCCGGTCCTTGCCACCACTCCCCGCCACGAGCTTCTCAGTGAAGCAGCTTGCTTCTTCAAGACCAGCAAGAGGACTTCCTCTGCTGCTATTGGCATTTTTCTTTTTTTTACCTAATTAAGTCACATCCATGCTGGGTAATCTCCCTTTTGATTAACATAGAGTCAGTTATTAGAAGCCTCAATGAAGGAGAGAGATCCCATCATGTTCACAAGTCCCTCCCACGCAGGTGAGGGGATCATATGGGGTGTTTGCACCAGGGGTGGGGATCTTGGGGACCATCTTAGAGTCTGACGGCTGCATCCTGGGAAGCAGAAACTCTTGTCTTGGCAATAAATCACGGTTTTGGTTTTTCCTCTAAAGCATGTTTAGTGTAGCTTCCAAGACTGGATCCCTCAGCTCCAGGTAGAGTGTGGGAGGGGTGGTGGGATAGGGGTGGGAGGGGGTAGGACCTGTTTTCCTGGCTCTGACTGTGCTGCTGCTTCGAGAGAACATTAACTGGGCATCCTACTCCTTAGCTGCTGCCTCTGAGCATTTGCTCAGCCGAAGCCTGTTATGTCTCTAGGACAGCTTCCATGGAGTTAGGAAAGAGGCCAGAGAATGCCACAGGAAAGGCAGCATCTTTGCCTCAGTGTTTGTGTATGTGTGTGGAGGTGCGGTGCCCATTGATCATCTGAGCATGGGCCCGGCCTAGGGAACCAGCACATGTCCTGGACGTGGGGCACAGAATACACCCACCATGACAGGAAGCTCCCCTTCTCAGGAGGCCATGCGTCAGGGGGCACCAGGCGTCCTGGGTCCCTCACCAGCAGACTGCCTGGTACAGCGTCTTCAGACTTCGGGACCCAAAGCTGGCAGAGAACTCAGACAGCTGCTCGGTGCGTTCTCTTGCCCCCTCGTGGAAACTCTCCCTCTTCTCCTCTGTATTTTTTTAATTCTTTTTTTAGTTGCAGCATAACGTTATCTGAAACCTAACAGTTTAAGATGACAGTAAGCATTTATTATCTCTCAGTGTTTCTGGAGGTTAGGGAACCAGGAGCAGCTTAGCTCTCCTGAGGTCACAGTCTGGCAGGGTCACGCTCATCTGAAGGCTTGAGTGGCGCTGGGATCCATGTCCAGAGCAGAGCACCCCCCGCTGGGTGCCACGCGAGGCCTCAGTTCCTCTGTGATGCTGCTTCAGGGTCCTCCTGCTGTGCGGCTGGCTTCTCCTAGGGCAGGGCTCGGCAGGCCTTTTCTCCAGAAGGACATATAGTAAGTGGCAGATAGTAAATATTTTCAGCTTTGTGGCCCCTGTGATCTCAACTGCAGCTGGTCACCTGGCTATTTACAGGAGCAGGCGTGCTGATGGTCCAGGAAAGCTTCATGTCTCGATCCTTTATTTGAATTTCACATGGCTTTCGTTTTGTCGCAAAATATTATTCTTCTTTGATTTTTTTTCCCAACCATTTATTGATACAGATATAAAAGCCATCTTTAGCTCCCAGGCCTCGCAGATTCAGAGAGCAGGCCAGATGTGGCCCGTGGGCCCGGAGCTCGCCCACCGTGCCTGAGGGCAGTCACTCCCATGGCAGAGCAGAAACCACGCTCGGTGTTCTTCGTGGCCTGGCGGTCATGCTCCTCGGTGTCCAGCACTTCCTGTGGGCTCGGTCTGACGTGACAGCAGATTCCGTGAGGCGTGGACACCGGGACGTGAGGGTCTTGGCGGTCAGCCACCATGCCCGACTGGTGACTGGCCTCCACCTTGAGCAGTGTAGCCGCGGTACTGTTGGCAGCCCATGAGAAGAACGATCTTCCTTCAGAACCAAAGCATAAGTAATGGACTTTGAGGAATGATGCCCGCTGAATTTGCATGAGCGTGTCTGGTGCCAGAAGAGAACCTAACCCTGGCAGTGGTGGTGTGTTAGCAAGCGTAGCGGCAGTCCGGGAACGCAGGTGTGAGCTTTGTTTGTGTGGTTTGGGGGTGGTGGCAGGTGAGGCACTGTCCCTGAGCTTTCTCTCTCTTTGACTTGAGTCATCATTGTTTCTGAGAAACTTGTGGGCCGCCTGAAGCTGATCTGCCTCCAGGTGACGGGAGCGTTATCATAATTTAATATGCCTGGGAAGCAGCACCCCTGCCCTGGGAAAGGCAGTGCACTTCCTGTTCCCAGCCTGGAGTGACAAGGAAACGTACGTGGCGCGGTCACTCTGGGATATTAAATGTATAATTCAGGACGCCTTTCTGCCCTGCCAGCCAGAACCCTCTTGGCAAACTTTTTCCCTTCTAAGAAAGCAAGAGGAGGCAAGTTGGTTTCATAGAGAGTATCTGTGTTGTCCTTTTGAATTTATTGATGAGTTTAGGTGAGGAAGACATGTTCTGGGAGATGGGGTTCTTTTATTACAAAATTGAAAGAATGACTCTTGTTTTCCCATGAGAGAGGAAAGTCACTGAGCCCCTGGGAGCTGCCTGAAAGCCGTGCTGGGCCCCACGTGGAACAGAGCTTATGTACTTCGGTTTCGTGGTTCTGGAGGTGTGGATGGCACCCACAGGGTAATGGGGCGGGTGTGCAGGGGCTGCTGGGGGACCTCAGCCCAGCATCTTCGCTCAGCGGTGCCAAGGAGTTGCTGGCTGTTCTGAGCAGCCAGCAGTCCTGATGCCCTTCAGAGCACGGGCGCCCGGCTTCAGAAGAATGCTGTCGTGGACCGGGCCGTAGTGCAGCCGGGCCCACAGGGTTCAGCCCTGAGATGCAGTGTGTATCGCTTAGCACGGGGTGGAGACCGATTGGCCTGCGGTTCCTTGACCTTGTGTCGCACTCAGGCCTCCACACTCACGCTGCCAGTGTCCTGGAGCCCCTCCGAGCACGTGCTGGCTGCTCTGGCCTGGAGCTGGGGCTGCGGGCCGCGGTCCCCCTCCTAGCCGGTCCACTGACTGAGAGGCCGGGGCGTGGGCAGAGCAGAGCTGGGCGCCGAGCAGGGACCATGCTCTCTGCCGACGGCCCCCCAGATCGTGCAGCTGGACCTCGGCCAGGGAGGCCTTCAGGGTGCGCCATTCAAGAGGACTTGGAGCTTCTCAGTCCAGAGTCGTCAACTCACGGATGAGTCTGAAGCAAACTTGGTAGACTCTGATTGTCTTGCAGTTTTCAAGCATGGTTTTTCCTTGTCGCTGACTGTTGGAGATCCCGGGCCAGTCTTCTGGGAACCGAGCACTTGAGTGGGACGCAGACAGGCTGGGATGGCACTCCTGCCTGGAGAGCCTGCGGCCGCTTCCCCAGGGGCTGGGCCCTGCCTGCAATCGCTGGCCTGAGACAGAGGCACGTGGGCTGAGCGCTCAAGCTGGCCCCGGCCCGCTGCCCTGCCGGCCGAGGAGCGGGGCAGGAGCCTGAGTGTTCAGGGCCGCCGGGAGGCCTGCAGGTCCTCTCTGCAGCACCGTCTCTTTGTCCTCACGGGGACGATGAGGCCGCTCTTGGCAGGTGACCGCAGCCTGCCCACACAGCCGGGCCGAGGGTGGGGTGGAGACAGCCAGCGGCCTCCGCGGGCACGCAGAGGTGGCGGCTCCATCTGCCCCGCCCCTGCCCGGGTGACGGCCACGCACACGTGCGCCTCCCGTGCGGGCATTCATTGCAAGACGGCTCCTGCTCCCCAGAGCTGACCAGTTGTTAAAAAAAAAATCTGCTTTTTTTAAAGAGGAGTTTTATCAGCTCATAAATTGTTCTAGAGTCTACTGGAAAGTTTTCTTGTGGAGATAGTGTAAACAAGGTCTTGAATGTCGCTGAGGGAAGAAACACTGCCTTTTATGGGCAGCACTGTGGGGCCGTGCCTCTGGAGAGGTTCAGACGCTGTCACGTGGCTTGTGTCTGCCAATGTCGCTCACAGGCCTCCTCCCCTGCGGAGGGCACTCCCCAGCCCCAGGCCGAGGCGCCCGGAGCCGGGACACATCACGTGTCCTTGGCCCTGGCTGCACTTCTATTCAGGGATAAGCCCCTCGGCTAGAGAGGAAATTGCAGCTGAGCCATGGAGAGGCGTGTCACGTCGTGTATTTATGGCTCTTTATTTTTATTTTTTATTGGGGGGGCGTTGGTCTTTTTCATAAGAAATGATGGAGGTGAGGATATGGAAGGGGGTTCGTTTGCCATCTGACCCAAGAACAAGTCACCAGTTTATCTACAAAGCCCCCACAACACCTGTGACTGTCCGTGGATGGCCAAGAGAGGGAGACGGGGCAAGACTGTGGTCTCTTGTTGAGGCTGAGAGCGGGTTTCTCTCTCTGAGGTTGGTGGTGGTGGTCAGAGTGCAAGCAGGTCATTTGTGAGACTTCCATTCCTGCCACACCCTCCCTCATTTGAGGGCCTATAAAACGGGGCTTTATCATGATACACACCTTCCCAGACCCATGCAGAGTAATACCGTATACACCCACAAAACTCCTGAGAGCACTGGTCGACTACCGTGGGGTTAGCGTCCTGACCTCGTGTAGGTGGTTTAGTTGGGAGGGGAAAAGATAGTCTTCATGTTTTGTCTAACTCTTTCTCCGCTAGAGCAGAGGTGGCAAGCTTTTTCTGCCAAGGGCCACACAGTAGGGCTCACAGGCCAAACCATCTCAACTATTCAGCTTGTACAACTACTAGTTTGAAAGCAGCCGCAGACCATGTGTCAACAAACGGGTGTTTCCGCTGCAGTAAAACTTGATTTACAAAAGCAGGCAGCCTGCCTCTCTTCTGTTCCCACCCTCACTCAAGGTCACATCCTCTCCTATCCGACTTGACATGACACCCTTCTCCCCAGGTCTTTCAGGGTGCCTGGCGGGTCGACCTGATGGGTTGACCTTCCTGTCCCCTTGAGCTTTCTCTCTTTGAAATGGTTTCTGGGACCAGACTCAGGTTTGTCAAGTATCAGCCTGAGGCTGGAAGCCAGTTTGGGGCACTTTGAGCTTCCTAGATGTGGGGCGTTCCATTGGGCCATTTTTATTGAAAAGTATCTCATTAGCCAGAAGTTTTTAAACAAAACATAAAACAGTTTCTGGCGAGAAAACAGAAGTGGAAGGGAAGGCACTCTGGTCTCCATGAGAAGAGGCCGCTGTCTCCTCAGAGCCGCCTCCACACTCCTGGCAGCCTGGACCTTGGTTCGGCCACCTCCCGCATGCCCGGAGGTCTGCGTAGCTGGAGCCCTCTGCGTGCCCAGTGAATGAGGGGTGCCCCCCCTCCTGCAGCAGTGCTGAACTGTTGTCAGAACCTGTGTTGGCTTTTTCCCCTTGCAGCCGCCTGTTATGGGGGCTCTGGCCTGATGCTGGGCCGGTCCCTATGGCCATGTGAGGCAGAGGTTTCCCAGTGCCCTCTTTGCCCACCCTGGGCCTGAGCAGGGACCCTGGCCCAGGCTCTCGCTGGGTTCAGGGCAGCCTGTCTCCCAGGCTGGCTCTGCCACCTTGGGGCATGCAGTGTGCAGCCTGAGCCCTGGCACTGGAAGGGGGCTGTGCGCCCCTTCTGTCTTGCAGCCACACTGCCTGGCACTGCCTGTCCTCGGTTCTCTGCCAGTGGCCCCCTGCGCCCAAGAGGAAGCTTGGAAGCAGCGTGTGTAGAACTGAAGGCGACCGCCGTGGGGAAAACTGGTCGCTGGTCAGCCTCCTCAGTGTTCTCATTCTGGAAATAATGTTTACCTAGTGGCTGCAGGAGATGCTTTGGATAGAAGGCTGGTTTGCATTTTATGTAAATATGTGTAGTAAGAGGCTTTTATGGGTGGTTCAAACACGTACAAAGAATCCGCCTGCAATGTGGAAGGCCCTGGGTTCCATCCCTGGGGAAGATCCCCCAGAGGAGGAAATGGCAAACCCACTCCAGTGTTTTTGCCTGGAGAATCCCATGGACGGAGGAGCCTGGCGGGCTACAGTCCATGGGGTCGCAAAGAGTAGGACGCGACTGAGTGACTGACGCTTTGGCTTGTAATAACAGATTCTGTGTGGGACCTGTATTTGTCCCTCTCAGGATGCGAGAGTTAGGGTTGAGTCCTGTGTGTGGATGAAGTGACTGCAGGGGTGGACCTAAGTCAGGAGAAGCTGAAGGCTACCTGTGTCAGAGAGAGACAGAGTAGAGACTCTCCCGTGTCAGAGAGAGAGACAGAGTAGAGACTCACCTCTGTCAGAGAGAGACAGAGTAGAGACTCTCCCGTGTCGGAGAGAGACAAGCTGGGGGCCTGACACGGCCTGCGTGTGCTCGCCGCACCCGGTGTGGCGGGGCTCCTGGCCCGGCGCCCTCCGGGCGGGGCCCACCTCTGCCGTCTCCCCGCAGGTTTGAGCTGATGCGCATGTGCTGGCAGTACAACCCCAAGATGCGGCCTTCGTTCCTGGAGATCATCAGCAGCGTCAAGGACGAGATGGAGGCGGGCTTCCGGGAGGTCTCCTTCTACTACAGCGAGGAGAACAAGCCGCCGGAGCCGGAGGAGCTGGACCTGGAGCCCGAGAACATGGAGAGCGTGCCGCTGGACCCCTCGGCCTCCTCGGCCTCCCTGCCGCTGCCCGACAGACACTCAGGACACAAGGCCGAGAACGGCCCGGGCCCGGGCGTGCTGGTCCTGCGGGCCAGCTTCGACGAGAGGCAGCCCTACGCGCACATGAACGGGGGCCGCAAGAACGAGCGCGCGCTGCCCCTGCCCCAGTCCTCGACCTGCTGATCCCGGATCCTGGCCGTGCATACAGTAACGCGCGCGCGCGGCGGCGGGGGTGGGGAGAGTGTTCACAATCTATTCACAGCTTCCTGTACCTCAGTGGATCTTCAGAACTGCCATGGCTGCCCACAGGAGACGGCTTCTCTGCAGTAAACACATTTGGGATGTTCTTTTTCTCAATATGCAAGCCGCTTTTTATTTCCCTACACAAACCCTTAACTGACACGGGCCTTTAAGAACCTCAGTGACAACACTTAATAGCAACACTTGAGAACCAAGTCTCCTCTCTCCCTGTCTCTCTCTTTCTCTCTTTCTCCACACCTTTCTCTCTCTTTCTGCTTCATGATGGAAACACATTTGCCGCAAGCCCAGGCGGGACGCCCTCTGCATCGGATTGAAGCAAGGGCTGCCCGTCTGTGGCCCCACATTGCCCTGAACACACCTGCCAGTCACCGTAGGTCTTTATAAAAAACACGTTGAGACGGGATTTTTTTAACTGTCTTTAACATTTTTAGGGACATACGAAATTTACAAAGGGCCATCGTTCACCCAAGGTTGTGACCATTGTTAACGCTGCCAAATTCTGCCAAAACCCCAATTCTTCCCCTTCAGCGCCCCCCCACCGTTCTCTCCTTTCCGGAGGCCTGGGCGAGCCGGGAGCTAGTCACTCAGTAAGGGCCGCGCTGCTGACGCCCTGCACCTTGGTCGTCCCTGGTGTTCCAGTCTCGCGTTCACACAGGTCCGTTGGCTTCTGATGAGGTTATTATTTGGGGGCACTGGACAGAATGAGAGTCGCTCTCAGTGAGGATGGGGAGGAGCCGGCCTGGCTTCCCCACCCCCCTTTCTGCACCCCCACCTTCTAGCCCCCCAGGAATCCTGGAGGAAACAGGCCCTGTCGGGAGCCTGGACAACAGGCTCTGAGTAAAGGTCGTCCACGTGCCCGTCTCCTGCCCCCGCCCAGCCCCCAAGGACACAGATGGGAAGGGGTTGCCAGGGACTCAGCCCAGCTGTTCATGCAGGTTTGCAAGGAAAGCAATTCCAACACCACAACAGTGCGAAGAAAAGCAGTAAATGGATTCAAGCATTCTAAGCTTTGTTGACATTTTCTCTGTTTCTAGGACTTCTTCGTGGGTCTTACAGTTCTATGTTAGACCATGAAACATTTGCATACACATCGTCTTTAATGTCACTTTTATAACTTTTTTACGGTTCAGATATTCATCTATACGTCTGTACAGAAAAAAAAAAGCTGCTATTTTTTTTGTTCTTTATCTTTGTGGATTTAATCTATGAAAACCTTCAGGTCTACCCTCTTTCCTCTCTGCTCACTCCAAGAAACTTCTTATGCTTTGTACTAGAGTGCGTGACTTTCTTCCTCTCTTCCCAGTAATTGATACTTATATAACATAATTTGCCATGAACTGTTTGATGCCTTTTTATAAATACATAGCCCTCCCTGCTCCCCTTGCCCCATTAGTTCTGTTCTAACCCGTAGGCTCTGTGGGCACGAGGCTGGTGAGGGGGCGCGGAGAGAAGGCGGGTGCCTGCCCCGACCCTCTCTCCCCAGCCCGCCCTCACACAGCGTCTGAGTCTGTTACAGTGCAAGACATGATACAAACTCAGGTCAGAAAAAAAGGTTGAATATATCGCACATCCTGTTCAGTGTTGATGCTCACCATTGTTGACAAGTCTCAGCTTCTCTTCCCTTGCCTTTGTTTCAGTTGTGACACATATATCTATTTTTTTAATTCTTGGGTACAACAGCAGTTTTAACTGCAGACACTAGGCATTTGGATTACTATTTTTTTTTTAATGGCTATTTAATCCTTCCATCCCATGGAATACAGCTGCTGAGTCCAGGGGTGCGGCGGCGTGTGCTCCAGCGGGCCCGTCTAGGCCTCCCGCCGCCACCCCGCCCCGACCGGACCTACCTGTCTTTAGAACCGGAGATGCCCCAGGGCTCCCCGGCACCCACGGGGAGTGGGGCGCAGGGGCGGTGTCCTCACAGAGCCTCTGGCAGGCCCCCCCCACCTCCGGCAGGTCGGAACAGCGGGCGCCGCGGGGCAGAAGACCGTGCCCCCTGCCCCGGGGGGCCAGGGGCCCGGCCCAGGGGAATCGTTACCCGGCCAGCAAGCCGAGTGCTCGGAGCCCGGGTCTCATTTTGTTTAGCTTTTAGCACTTCTCACCAGAGTGATGACAGCACAAGAGTTGCTTCTGGGATGGAAATGTTTAAATTATGAGTAAGAACAAAGCTATACAGTATGATGATTGCTAGTTGCGACTGGAGATTAAACACAAAAAAGGAAGTTGGTAGTGCTTTTTTGCTTGTCAGTAGTTTCAGTCCCACTATTTCCTCTAGTCTGTCCCATAGTTTTTCCCTTTAAAAAAAAAATGACAAAAAGAAAAAATTAAGGTATTATATGTAGGAGTTTTAATTTATTTTGTGATACCAGTTTCAATCACTGTAGAGAAGCCCCCTTATGAATTTAAATACTGAGAAAAGGGTGTGTGTGTGTGTGTGTGTGCGTGTGTGTGTGTAAGACAGGACAGTTTAGGGTTTTTTGTTTTGCTTTTTTCCCAAACATTTATCTACCTCACTCTTATTTTTTATATGTGTATATATAAAAGGAGTACATCTCACATTTCTCAGCACCTGACAATATGCCGTTGATACTGGTAACCTCATGCACACCACAGGCCGTACACACCAGGGACGCGGGGCAGGCCAGCCTGTACCCCGGGGTCACAGCCCCAGGAGCTCACCTCCCCACTCGCCTTCCTCTGCGGCGGCTCCGTTCGGCGCCGCTCCTGGTCTCCCCCTGACTCAGTTTCCCAAGAGACGGGGAGGGTCCCGGCAGGTTGTCTTGGAAACCAGCTACTCGGTGCAGACTGGGGGGAGGGGCGGTGGTTTCCAGTCTGGGGACCAGGCCGAGCCAGGGCCCCCACCTCCCCTGTGGCCGCGGGGTGGCCGCTGGGCCCCCAGCCGGGTCAACTCAGACCCCCTGCGGCCACGTGGGCTCCAAGAGCCGGCGAGCGCCTCCTACTGCGGCTTCCCGACCTGGTGGTGGCCAGCCCCAGGTAGGACGTTCGGAGAAGAGTCCCCGCCTCCCTGTCCAGACTGTTCTCTCCACCTGGCCCTCACCTCCTTCCCAGGGGCAAACAAAGACGTACCAAACCTTTGGGCTGGAAGGGGCAGTGCCTCCTCCCCCGGCTCCCGCTGCTCACCGGCGGATGGCGCCCCCTCCAGCAGCTGCTCTCACAGGCACTGGCATTTCATCTGGGAAATGCAGTGGGGGGTGGGGGTGGGGGATCGCCCCAAGTGTGGCGGCTCCTTTCTGCTCCCAGGACTGCAGTTGTGCTCAGGAGCTCCTCTCTCCTGCGGGAACACCCCTCTCCTTCCCCAAGTCCCCTGGAATCTTTAAGGTCATTGAGAAGTAGTGTCTGATCAGGGTTTCCCGCTTCCACACTGTAGGTGACCCCGTGGAATAGTGGCCTCTCCTCCGTTTTGCACATACCTACCGGTTTCCACAACTGGATTTCTACAGATCATTCAGCTGGTTATAAGGGTTTCGTTTAAACTGTCCGAGTTGTTGGTGTCACTTTTTGTTTTATGTAGGTGGTTTTCCTTTAAGTAGAGAGAAAACACTTAACAGTATAGCGCCCATCATAACAAATGCTTCAGAAACACTTAAATAAAAGAGAATTTTTTTGCTTGTGTGATGGTGCAGTCATTTTACTGGACCAAAAAACCCACCTTGACTATACCAAGGCATCATCTGTCCACAGTTCTAGCCTAATTTTATGCTCATTTCCCACCTCTTCTTGGCTTCCTCCTTTGTATGCTCCAAATAACTTAAGCTGAGTTGTGGCATTCTCCATGCAGCCTCCTCCTGACAGCAGCTTGCACTGCTTGACGTGACGTGAACCACTGAGGCACATCATTGAATTGATGTGAGCATTAAAACCTGATCATACACAGCCCTTCCCTGAGGCAGCAGGAGCTGGTGTATTCTGGAGACGTTGTTGAACTGCAGCTGGGTGAGACCCAGACCACCCCAGGACTCCCTTAGAGGATGTCCTGACATTTGACACAGTTGGAATGAGCTTCCTCCTTGGAAGATAGAAGACCGTGTTCATGGCCAACACTGGCCTTTCCTTCCAGCCTGTTTCTTATGACTTGGAACAACATTTCAATAATAGAGAAAAAAAAGAATGGTTATTGTGGAACTACTCAATGGAAAAATGCTTGGCATGAAGTGGTATGTTTTCAGTTGGGTAACAGATGTCAGAGCCAAGTATGACGCCAAATTCTAGGCCAGTTCGTTCCACTGAAGCCTCTTTCTCAGCAGCCCACCTTTGCTGGCAGGTGGCTGTGCGGGATACAGGCCGCTGTTATGACAAGGTCACACGTAGCTCAGAGCAGTGAGAGGCTAGGATACTTGGTCCAAGGTCCTCAGCTGTCACTGTTGGGTCCTCCGGCCAGACAGTGTCAAAGGCACCTCTTCCCAGAACACAGGCACCCTCCAGTTGACAGTGAAGCTCCATGGTATGCCTTGGCCCATTCCAGCAGTCCCAGTAATGCATTTAAGATTTGGGGTTTGTTCTTTTGTTAATATTACTTTTGTATTTGTTGGCTGTCTTTCCATTTCCTGGGCTAAGCAGCATTGGGAGACATGGCCCAGAGATCCACTCTTTAAGAACCAGTGATGAAAATCAAACTCAACTCCACTCTGACATAGTGGGTGGTACAAATGAGAACTTCAAGAGAGGATGTTGCTTAGATTGAACCTCTGTTGCGAGAGATGCTGAAGATACAGAGCTTGGACAGGCCAGACGGTTTCATTTTTGGCCTCCAGCTTAGATGACTAGTTGGTCATTTAGAGAAAAAGCAGATGAACACTCCTTGATGGTGGAATGAGGAGGTGGCAGGAAACCATTGTAACAGAGATCGTGAATGACATGGACAGAGGAAAACATGAGCAGAAGGTACAGGGCTTGGAAGAAGTGTGGGCTGTGCTTGGAGCTTGATGGTTTCAGAAGGTATCAGACCACATCAAGGCTCAACAGTCATCCATGGGCATTTGGTGTCAACAGATAAAAAATAACATCCTACTTTGGAAACTGTTACTGCGGAGTTCAGTCAAATTGTTCAAGAACACGAACTGCATCGCACCCGTCAGTTGTCAGTTCTGGGGCATGACTTTAGGGTTTTGTTTTATTTTGTTTATGCAAGAACATAATGATCACTCATCTGTATGTCCACGTTTGTGTGTGTCCACATCTTTCTGGTAAACATCATTGTAATTAGTCACTCATTAGCGTTTTCAATAGGGCTCTTAAGTCCAGTAGATTACGGGTAGTCAGTTGACGAAGATCTGGTTTACAAGAACTAATTAAATGTTTCATTGCATTTTTGTAAGAACATAGAATAATTTTATAAAATGTTTGTAGTTTATAATTGCTGAGAATAATTTAAAGACACTTTTTTTCTCTGTGTGTGCAAATGTGTATTTGTGATCCATTTTTTTAGGACACCTGTTTACTAGCTAGCTTTACAAGATGCCAAAAAAAGGATTTTTCCCTGACCCAAGCCGTGGTTCACCCTCTTTCCCCCCTTGCTTTGTGCCCTAGTTTATAACAAAGGAATGATGATTTAAGAAGTAGTTCTGTATCTTCAGTATCTTGGTCTTCCAGAACCCTCTGGTTGGGTAGGGGATCATCTTTTACTGCTCATTTCCCTTTGGAGTGTAGCTACTTTAACAAACTGAAAGAACCTCATTGGCCAAGCAAATCGCAGAGGTGTTGCAGCCCCGCAGTGCCGCGGCACCGTCCACACCATTGGGCTGGCTGGTAGCTGTACTGTTAGGCGGTGCCTCGAGATGGAAGGACTCCATCGCACGGCTCCTGGTTTTCACAATGAGCACAGCACACAGACTGCTGCAGAAAGATGGTAATTCTGGCGCACGCAGGCCATTTGCTTCCATGCCTCATATCATGATTAATGCTTTGCTATGACAAAGAAGAGACCCTGTTTTTATTTGAGGCAGAACACCGAACATAAGATGTTTTTCAATAGAAAACAAAACTTTTTAATAAAAACTACACACATTCAAGATCTTTTTTAAGTTTGACTCATTTCTTCCTGCTCTCAGTGGGTTATTGGCCATATCAACACAGCTCCACAAAATCCCCACCACTGGAAACACCTGGGTGTTCTGTGCTACATGGGAGAAAGGTCCAGAAACAATTTGGGTTTTGTTTGCACTTTTCCTTTGGATGTTTGGTGTTGTGCAGACACAACCACAGGTGATGGATGCTTGGCAAAGACACCTGTCTGCTTTCTAAGCCAGTGAGGTTGAGGTTGGGGGTTTTGCCAGAGTTTGTCTACCTCTGGGACAAAAAAAAAAAAATCAAACCAGAAGGCACGATGGAATGGATGCATCACAAATAATGCATTTTCTGAGTTTTCTTGTTTAAAAAAAAGTTTTTTAAAAAAAAGTAAAAAAATTTTAAAAAAGGTAATAACATGGCCAATTTGTTACATAAAATGACTTTCTGTGTATAAATTATTCCTAAAAAATTCCTGTTTATATAAAAAAATCAGTAGATGAAAAAAATTTCAAAATGTTTTTTTGTATATTCTGTTGTAAGAATTTATTCCTGTTATTGCGATATACTCTGGATTCTTTACATTACCGAAAAAAAGAAACTTTGTCTATTTTGAATGGCTGAAGCTAAGGCAACTTTAGTTTCTCTTACTCTGCTTTTTTCTAGTAGTTAAAGTACTACATGGTTTAAGTTAAATAAAAGAATTCTGTATGCATGTTGGTCTCTGATTTTGCCCCTCCCCATCCCTTCTGGAAGAATCACCACACTTCTGAGCAGGGAAGCTGAGCTATGGGTGGTGTGTGTGTTCACACGTGGCGCTGGGAGGTGTTCTGCGTGAAGGCTTCACCCCGTTTCTGACAGCGGAAACTTCTCGGCATGCGAATTACGGGTGAACATGAAAGCTAGTCTCTCCATTACGTCAGCCAGAAGAAATTTTGAATTTCTATAAAATATAGACACCTGTACTGGATTTTTGACTGCTGTGTAGGCTTTTCCATAGACAAAAGTCAGTCCAGGGCAGGTTTCGTCTGGGCGATTCTGGGGCAAAGGACTTTCTTCACACTTTAATGTCCTTGTTGGTCCCTCACGGCATGCACACCTCCTTGAGGGGTACAGGCAAGGCCTCGGACATGCACACAGGGTGCTCACAGCTCACTGGTGCTGCAGAGACGGGTTAGTTGCTTCTCAGCCGATGATCCTGGCCTACCCCAGTATGTTGTGTGAAGTCGCTTCAGTCCTGTCCGACTCTGCGACCCTAGGGACTGTAGCTACCAGGCTCCTTTGTCCACGGGGTTCTCCAGGCAAGAATCCTGGAGTGGGTCGTCATGCCCACCTCCAGGGGATCTTCCGGATCCAAGGATTGAACCCACGTCTCTTCCGTCTCCAGCACTGACAGGTGGGGTTCTTTACCATTAGCTCCACCTGCGAATCCCTGACCCAGAGACTCTGCAAATCCAGGGATCATTATCTCTGCCAGAGGAAATGTCATGGTAGGAAGTGTGAAGACATGTTTTAAGGAAACAAGCTGTACATGTTCTAGAGTCAAACCTAACACATCAGGAAGACAAGCTGATCATTTATTAGACTTTGATCATGGGATGTTATACATCAGTAATAAAATCAGGCTACTGGACAAAGGGGGCTAACTAGCCAGGTGTAGGCAGTACAAGTAAATGAAAGGCTATGCTTGCTTACGACCTGGTGTCAAGGACTTGGACCTAAAAACAAGAAACGGGACTCTCAACTCTTGGTGTTGCCCTGGAGTTTTGCTTCCCGTGGTCATGGAGGGCCTGGCACCCGGAGACCTTCACTAGAGGACCCATGACTCACAGCAGGCTCAATGTGCGGCTCAGGTGGGCATCTCGCCTCTGGAAGGAGCCCAGATTCCCACCACCCCGGGTGGGTGCGCTGCGCCTCCAGGCTGCAGAGGCGCAGTCTGCGCCTGTCCTCAGCCAGGGGAGCAGCAGGGTCTCCTGAGGATGAAGGTGCTGGGGCTCAGATGTGTGAGACCCTCTCCCCAACGCGCCCCTGCTCCAGCCCACAGTCCTGCAGAACTCCTCCTGTATCCACACTCTCAGGTCCAGCTATGAGCCCACACGCAGCGCGCTCTCACCACTGACGGACGCTCACATCCGTTCTTTCACCAGTTCTTCACAGTAACTCTGCAAAGGAAAGATTTCTATTCCTCTGTTTTATAGATGAGAAAACACACAGACACGTCCAAGACCCCGCAGCTGTTAAATGACCGACCCAGGGCTGAGCCTTTTGAAGCTGTGTCAGCTTTCAAACCGTCTCAGAACTGCCCGCACCTCAGCCGTAACTAAAGAGACCCCAGTGTGTATTGGGGGGATGGCAGATCACTTAGACCACGAGCTGAACGGGTCTCTGGCTGCTCCCGCAAGAACCCTGGAGGCCACAGCGGGTGGGAGATGACGGGTGTTCATCAAGAGCTCTGGGCCTCTGACTGATGACATCGAAACGTCTGCTTTGCGCCAAGCTGCACGCATTTTACCATCTGAAATAACACCGGAGCTGGGTCCCAGGGGAGGCCTGGTGCCACTATCCTGAGATGAGCTTAAAATAAGGCGGGGTGGGGGGAGTGGCCCAGGGCTCTGGGTAGCAGGTGGTTGCCTACAGTCGCAGAAGGCTCTCCTCATTAACAGCCGTGCAGCCAGACCGGTGATTGGTGTCCAGACCGCCCCGCCCCTCTTGTGCCCTTTGATCTGCTACAGTAGGACTTTGATCTGTTCTATGTCACGTGAGCCCGTTCCATTTGCAAAGGGGTCCTGTAGAATCTATTGCAAACACAGGAGTGTGCTGGAGGGCTAATGGTAAAGTGCGTTCCTTGGCCCAGTTCCTTTATTACTAAGGTGCAGCTGCTTTTTCTTACACTGAATAAATCTGGGCATTAAGTGATGATCTTTCTTTAAATGAAATTAAGTAGAAAATTATAGTGTGAGCACACCAACACAACAAGGAATTTCCCTGAGCTCAGCTCTTCCTCCAAAATATAAAACGGCCAAAGGGGTTCCAATGGAAAGCTGCCCCTAGAACACACTGGAAAAGTAAAACCTTGTGAGCAGCTTGGCACAGTGCCATAAAGCAAAATGAAAGATGTAAAGGGGAGGTTCTGTTTCTTAAAAGGCAGGAAAATACTGTCCATGGTAGAAGAGTTAAACCCAGCTATTAACCTTTGTTTTGGGGCCAGACAATATGGAGGGAATGTGACATGGCATGGCTACCATGAGAAGCGGTAATAGCAGCACCTCCAAAAAAGTAAACTCAGAATTACCATATGATCCAGCAATCCCACTAGGTATTGTCACACATGCGCACACACACACACACACACACACACACACACAACTAAACCAGGATTCTAAGAGATATTTGCACACCAGTGTTTATAGCAGTAGTATTTTCACAACAGCCAAAAGGTGGAGGCAACCCAGTGTCCATCGAAAGGTGAATGGATAAACAAAATGTAGTCTATATATACAATGGGGTGTTGAGTGAGTGAGTGAAGTTGCTCAGTCATGTCTGACTCTTGGTGACTCTATGGACTGTAGCCCACCAGGCTCCTCCTTCCACAGGATTCTCCAGGCAAGAATACTGGAGTGGGTTGCCATTTCCTTCTCCAGGAGATCTTGCTGACTCAGGGATCGAACCCGGGTCTCCTGCACTGCAGGCAGATGCTTTAACCTCTGAGCCACCAGGGAAGCCTCAGCCTTAAAGGAAGGAAATTCTGATGCATGCCACATGGATCAACCTTGAAGATATTTTGCTAAGTGAAATGAGCCAGTCACAAACGGACAAAAGTTCCATTAATATGAGGTGTCCAGAGTGACAGATTGGAGAAGGCAATGGCACCCCACTCCAGTGCTCTTGCCTGGAGAATCCCATGGACGGAAGAGCCTGGGGGGCTGCAGTCCATGGGGTCGCTAGGAGTCGGACACAACTGAGCGACTTCAGTTTCCCTTTTCACTTTCCTGCATTGGAGAAGGAAATGACAACCCACTCCAGTGTTCTTGCCTGGAGAATCCCAGGGACAGGAGAGCCTGGGGGGCTGCCGTCTATGGGGTCGCACAGAGTCAGACAGGGCTGAAGCGACTTAGCAGCAGCAGCAGCAGCAGCATAGTGTCAGATTCAGAGAGGGAGGCTAGAATAGTGGATGCCAAGGGCCACAGGGGGAAGGGAGAAGATAATGTTTAATGAGCGTGGAGTTTCAGTTCGGGGTGATGATGGTGGAAAGGGTTGCCCAAGTCAATGTACATATCGCCACTGAGCACTAAAAAATGGTTAAAATGATGAATTTCATGTCATGTATGTTTTATGACATTTTTTTATGAAGTTAGAAAAAGCCCGAACACTAGAGACTCGGTGGCTCAGCGGGCGCTTGCAGCGCCTGGATGCACAGGCTCAGAGGACCAGCGTGGGGCGCCTGCAGTGGTGGCTGCACCCGTGTTTCCCAAGATCGGCCAGTCACAGGTCATCCCACCACATGGGGCTCTGGGGAACGAAGCAGAGGTCCCAGTAGTCGGGAATCACAGAGGCCCGAGACATAGATTTTAAGAGGGGAAAAAGACATTACTAGCACTTCATTTTATTGTCAGGAAAACCATAACTGAAGCTAGTTAATCCCCTATGAAATGTCTGCCTTTCAGAGTGTTCTTCCTTCTTCTGACAATAAAATAACCCTTTGTGATTTCGTTGAGCGAATTGAGAACATTTTTCCTCTGTGTAAACTGTTTTATAAGCAATTTTTTAAAAAAGCCTCTCAAAGCACAGTTGAACTCTATTCACAGGATTGAAGCATTTAATTTTCTCTAAAGGAGCAGTCCCCCAGTTGGTTCTCCCTGGCTGGAACTGCAAAGGCCGAGTTTCCGGTGAACCAGGTTTGGAGCCCGGGCCTTCTCAATCTCCTCCAGCATTTCCTGGATGATGACCTGCAGGGCTTTTCCCAGCAGGCTGGCGGGCAGCCAAGGAGATAACGGAGGAAGGTGGATGAGCGCCGCGCGCCCATTTCCATGATGCAAAGACAGGTAGTAGGCATAATCGCAGACATACCTACAACCACACAAAATGCCAGGTTACTCCTTGGACCAGCCTCGAACCTCAGCTAAACACAAGCAGAAGCAGCAGGACCTCAGCTCCAAAGCACGAGGGACCCGCCACCCAGGAGACCCAGGCTCTGTGCTTCTGCCTCAGAAAGAACCTGCTGCTGGGAAAGGGCCATGGAGAGGCTGGCTCCAGGCCTTGTGTCCAGCGCATGGCTGATCCCTGGGAGGCACCAGATTGCCACCCCAGGAGTCCAAAATACTCTCTCCCCAGCCTGCAGACCCTCCTCGTTCTTGTCTGCCTTGACTCATTTTACTGTCAGAGTTGCTTCAGGTCTTTGCTCACAACCCTCCAACCCCCACCTTTAGCAGGAGTTAACATAAATTCTTATGTTAAAAGATCCAGAGATACGCAAGGAAAAAAAAAAAACAAAACAACTAGATGGAACCAGCTAAGACCAAAATGGCCACAAACTTGACCACCAACAGACCCTGGGGCTCATTATACCTTGATTCTTCCAAATTAGCATATTAAATGACACTGTAGGTAAATGACCAGACACTAAGGAACAAAAAAGGGTTAAAAGGGGGGGCAGCACTTCACTCCCTGGAAAAAACCCTGACCCTTCCCAGGGAGACTAAAGCATATGCCACCCCATCACCAGCCTCATTCCTCCTGCCTATGTCTTTATGTTTAAAATTAAATCCCTCTTACCAGGTGGGTGATAAGGTGGTCTGTGAACTTAGCTCCTGCTTCTCTATACTTTTGCTGCTGAACAAAGCTTGAAACCAAGTGGGAAAAAGAAACCTCTCCAGCGCAGGCAGAGAGGGTCCGAGCAAGGTCCATACAGCTTAATTCAGTAACATATTCTGGGGTTCAACTTGGGGCACACTTTGTCCATTAATTCAGGGTTACTCACTGACCCAAGGCCAACAAAGCCAGCTAAGTAACTGAACCATGTGCCCCAATTCTTGACCGCTGGGCCAGTGAGGGACACTGGAGATAAATTAACTTGGAGATGGAAAAGCAGCCGAGGATCAGTGGAGCACCCCCCGCCCCAGCATATCTACAGCGATGACGCCTGCAGCAATTTGGGGAAGCCTGGCCTACCCAGATATGCAGATGACACTACCCTCATGGCAGAAAGCAAAGAGGAACTAAACAGCCTCCTGATGAAGGTGAAAGAGGAGAGTGAAAAAGTTGGCTTAAAACTCAACATTCAGAAAATGAAGATCATGGCATCCGGGCCCATCACTTCATGGCAAACAGATGGGGAAACAATGGAAACAGTGACAGACTATTTTGTGGGGTTCCAAAATCACTGCAGATGGTGACTGCAGCCACAAAGTTAAAAGACACTTGCTCCTTGGAAGAAAAGTTATGACCAACCTAGATAGCATATTAAAAAGCAGAGACATTACTTTGCCAACAAAGGTCCATCTAGTCAAAGCTATGTTTTTCCACTAGTCATGTATGGATGTGAGGGTTGGACTATAAAGAAAGCTGAGCACCGAAGAATTGATGCTTTTGAACTGTGGTGTTAGAGAAGACTCTTGAGAGTCCCTTGGACTGCAAGGAGATCAAACCAGTCCATCCTAAAGGAAATCGGTCCTGAATATTCATTGGAAGGACTGATGCTGAAGCTGAAACTCCAATACTTTGGCCACCTGATGCGAAGAACTGACTCACTGGAAAAGACCCTGATGCTGGGAGGGATTGGGGGCAGGAGGAGCAGGGGATGACAGAGGATGAGATGGTTGGATGGCATCACCGACTCGATGGACATGAGTTTGAGTAAGCTCTAGGAGTTGGTGATGGACAGGGAAGCCTGGCGTGCTGCAGTCCATGGGGTCACAAAGAGTCGGACACAACTGAGTGACTGAACTCACTGACTGACCCAACTGCCGGGTGCTGACCCAACTTCAGCCAATAAAGCCAGGGTTGGTTGTAGAGCCATCTGGTTGAAGCCATACCTCTTTCTAGAGGACTGGACTGGGTGGTTGGTTGTCTAAATTGAGCTAATCCCCTGGTAAGGGGAGAGGGTGATGAGACAATTGGTTACCTGATTGGACTGGTTCCTGGCAAGAAGATCAAACTGGATGGGATCTTTATCTGAGCAATTTATATGATTTAGAGCAGAGGCCCCAATCTCTGTGATCTAATGCCTGAATATCTGAGGTGGAGCTGGTATAGTAATAATATAAAGTACAAAATAAACGTAATGCACTTGAATCATTCTGAAACTATTCCCCCCACCCCAGTCGTGGAAAAATTGTCTTCCACAGAACTGGTCCCTGGTGCCAAAAAGGTTGGGGCCCGCCGACTTAGAGAATGTTTTCCCACTCCCGCTTCACCCTGTCTCCGGAAACTGCTTGCTGAAAGTAGTCACCTACATCAGATATTTCCTACAGCCTCACAGTGGGTCTGGGAACACTGAGTCACTGACTTCAGAGGGGCTTTCTAACTAAGACCCTCTTGGACAGTGTCTCCCCTTCCAGCCCCTGCAAAGACTGGTTCAGGTTGCAGTTAGAGCTCCCAAACCACTTGGGGTGGGCCAATCCTGTGGGATCCGCATGGTCACCAACCCTAGGAAGAGGCCACTGGGAAGCTGAAAAGAGACTAGAAACAAGGACTCCTCGATATGGGTAACCCAGCCTCTATCCCAGTGAATACTGCTCAGGTACAGTCTCTGTAACTATAAACTCTTTGAGTAGTGCCCACTAAGAAGGAGACGGCTGACTTTCTTTGGTAACACTGCATAGCTGCATAGTGTAAACACTTTGTAAACACTGCATAGTGTAAACTGGTGGGTGGAGAAAGCTGGCCAACGAATGGCTCTCTAAATTATTTTTTAATTGGGTTGCTATTGCCAGTGTTAAAAAAGAAAATGGGATGAGATCCCCTATGTTGGATTTTTCATGGCGCTTAGCCAGAAAAGGGACTCTGGAAAAAATGTGAGGCTAGTTTAAATCTCTCTTTCCTGTTATCACTGGGGAGAGGAAAGAGGGAGAAACAAGACAGGGTTAGAAGATTAAAAGATACAAACTATTATGTATAAAATAAGCTACAGCGATATACTATTATACAGCACATGGAATACAGTCAATATTTTATAATAACTGTAAATGGAGCATAACCTTTAAAGATTGTGAATCACTTTGTGGTACACCTGTAACTTATATAATATTGTACAGCAACTATATATCTCAATGAAAAAAAAAGAGAAGGGAATGGAGACTCACAGTACCCAACTAGGGAAGTCATGGTTACATTTACAGGTGAGGTGACCACATAATTTATCATCCAGATCATCATTTAGGAGTAAAAGGTACATAAAAATAAAGTGTTATATATATATATTTGGATATATTTCTTTGTTGATCAATTCATTTTTTATTAATAAAGTATAGTTGGATATTAAAAAAATAAATAAGTAAATCTCTCCTTCCCGGGAAAGATTGAGGGCAGGAGGAGAAGAGGGCAGCAGAGGATGAGATGGTTGGACAGCATCGCTGACTCAATGGACATGAAAGTGAAAAGTGTTAGTAGCTCAGTCATGTCCGACTCTTTGCCATCCCGTGGACTGCAGTCTGCCAGCTCCTCTATTCATGAAATTCTCCAGGCAAGAATACTGGAGTGGGTAGCCATACCCTCCTCCAGGGTATCTTCCCCATCCAGGGATCAAATCTGGGTCTCCCGCATTGCAGGCAGATTCTTTACCTTCTGAGTCACCAGGGAAGATCCCTTAAAGGAGGAAATGGCAACCCACTCCAGTGTTCTTGCCTGGAGAATTCCATGGGCAGAGGAGACTGGTGGGCTACAGTCCGTTGTGTCTCAAAGAGTCAGACATGACTGAAGCGACTTACTACATTTCAGTGGACATGAGTTTGAGCAAACTCAGGAAGATAGTGAAGTACAGGGAAGCCTGGTGTGCTGCAGTCCATGAGGTCGCAAAGAGTCTGATAGGACTCAGCAACTGAACAACAACAAGCTTTGACAAAAATCAAAAAATAAAAAGAATACTCATGAAGCAAAGAAGCCCTAGCATGCATTAAGCCTATAATAGAAAGTCTATTCAAACAAGGGCTTCTTAGACCCTGCCAGTGCCCTTTCAACAGTCCTACTCTGCCAGTAAAAAAACTCAAGAGATAACAGCTTGTTCATGACCTCCAAGCTATAAATACAGACAGGAAAGAAATTCACCCAGTGAGGCCAAATCCTCAAACCGTACTCTCTACCCTAAACCCCAAGAGCATTTGGTATTCCAGGTGGTGCCAGTGGTAAAGAATCTGCCTTCAGTGCAGGAGATGTTAAGAGAAGTGGGTTCGATCCCTGGGTCAGGAAGATCCCCTGAAGGGCATGGCAATCCACTGCAGTATTCTTGTCCTCTTGAATAGAGGAACCTGGCGGGCTATAGTCCATAGGATCCCCAGGAGTCAGACACAACTAAAGTGACTGAGCACACACTTAGCTAGATTTTGATTAAAAGACAACTTCTTTTATGTGTCCTTAGCCTGGTAACCTCAGTACATTTCTGCACTTGAATGGCAGGATCTAAGCAACAGGAGAAAACACCACTTGTGCTGGGTGATTCCCCACCAGGGATTTAAAAACTCCCTCACCCTTTTAAGAAAGGTTTTAGCTGAGGATCTCAGTGACTTTGAATTTGAACAGGGGACTATCCTTCAATATGTGGATGAAATTCTAATCGCTAGCCCCATCAAAGAGCTTTCTGACCATAACAAAGTTAACGCCTTAAATCATCTGGCAGAGAGAGGATATAAAGTTTCAAAGGAAAAAAGCCCAAATCTCCCTCCAGCGGGTAGATGCTTAGGATTTAATAACAGAAAAGGGACAGAGGGCAGTATCTAAGAAGAGGAAAGAGTGGATTTGCCAGATGGTGCCCGTCATAAGAGAAAACAGCCCCAGGGTTCTTGGGGTGCCCGGCTCTGCCATGTGTGGGTCCCTGGTGCTGGCTTAATTGCTAAGCCCTCGAATGAACAATTAAA